TTGAAGACAAGGACCAGGTCTGCAGCCACATCATAATGGCAATATAAAATGCCATTAAGACAGTCAGACTGCTTTCACTTTGCAATTTAATGGGGTCAAGTTCGCAATGACATCCAATTTGTTTGTGATAATATGGCAATTGACTGTGATAAATTGGCAAAAGTAGCAAATTTGTTGCCATCTAGATTAGAAATTGACAATAATTATATATCCAGTCAGAATAAGCTGGATAAGTCTTTAACCACATAACCTAGTGCTAACCCTCAAGCACACCTTTGAGCACCTTTGAGGTCTAACTTTTACCAACATTATCCCTGTGATTTTATAAAACTCCACCTGGTTTCACAAGGACAACAGCAAATGTTTTCATTTAATCCAATTTATTTTGTTGTCTTGTGGTTTCTGGTGACAGATCATGAGTAACTTGCTCAGGTTGTTTAGGTTAGAGGTTCTAGAGACAGCTGTAATCTATTATGTGCCAGTTCTGCTAAGCTACATTTGTGCCTGCGCAATCCTACACTCATATGTTCAGTGAGCGTATCCTTATAGTTGTCCTATTTTCAGAACACTAACTTAATAAATGCCTGCTGCAAAAACACTGGCTCCACTCTCCCTGAAAAGGCACAGCATTGGTTTTAAGTAAATACAAACAACATTTTACCATTTATGCTTTAATTGATCTGCACAATTAAGCAGACTCATGTCTTTTAGCTTTCCTCATACTGAGTACTCACCGTCACTAGGGAGAATAAATATGCTGGGCATTTTGGCAGAGCTCACTGCGCATTTGTAAGGTTTAAGCGTAGGTGAGTATTGGTATCTGAGGCTCAGGAAATCCTGGTGGGAACAGCATAATCTTGATGATGTGTTGGAAGAAGCAAAGCATAGTCTATTGAATACACGTAACAGTGCCACAGATGGCTAATTGTAATGTTTTTGCTGGTAGGATATTTTAGCTCCTTGTCCAAAAATGTCACATGTAATTGGCATAAATAATTGAAATTGCCTCTTTGATAATGTACTGCATCTACAGCTTAGTTGTCTAAAGGAAATTCCTCTTAAACTGATAGGATGCAGGAATTGTAATGTAAATCAAAATACACTGCAGTTATTCACCATCTTGCAGGGAATATTTCTAAATCAATGGAAGAAAAACACAAAATAATGAATATGGAGGATGCATTTGAGAAAAATGGATTTTATCTTGGTGAGAAATTAAAAATACAACATGAAAACCACACTTCTGTTGACTTTTTTTTTGCTTGTCTGTGCATGTGACCATGTACACACCTGTTGAAATGTGTAAGATTCATATATGAAAGTGTTTAGGTAAATAGGAAAATGTATGGATAAAGAAACAAGACTCATTTTTTTAAATTACAAGTATACTGATACAGAAGTTAGCTATTTGCTAATATATATGTTTTGAAGTTACAGTATAATGGCCAATAAATGAGAATTTATAAAAGAAAGAAGAGAAAGGAGAAACACCCTTCAGGCATTCTGTGAGGGTTGATGTTGCATAGTTTGACCAACAGGAGGATTCGGCAACTTCCTGGGTTTGGAGCACTACAAACTACAACGGCTAATCTGAGCAGACTTGGGTACAGTTCAGTGACGCAATCATGTCTTGCTATCAAGCCGTGAATTACATATTATCTAAGTAGGGACTTAAAACAGGGTTGCTGCCTCTCTCCCCTTCTGTTCATTCTGTACACAAATGAGTGTCGCAGCAATTTCACAAACAGACACATCCTGAAGTTTGCTGATGACACAGTAATCGACGAGTCAGGCCATGGACAGGTTGTAGATGATTTTGTGAATTGGTGTGATGAGTCCTTCCTCTCACTTAATGTGTCAAAAACTAAAGACATGATTATTGATTTTAGGAAGTCCTCTTATAGCTCATCACCCACTATCATTAAAACTGCTGATATTGGGATCGTTGAGAGTTATAAATATCTAGGTGTGGTACTTGACCATAAACTGTGTTTTGAATCTCATGCTGATGCCACTACTAAAAAAGTTCAACAAAGACTGTTCTTTTTAAGGAAAATTAGATCTTTTAATGTCTCATCTGAGATGTTGTCCTTGTTTTATAGAAGTTTTATCGAATCTGTGATGTCTTTTTGTATCGCTGCCTGGTTTGGTAACCTGACGGTGAAGAATAAGAATCGGTTGGGACTTCTGGTAAAAACTGCTAGCAAAATTTCAGGGCGCTGGCAAGATGGACTTTTGGCCATTTACAATAGAAATGTGCTTAGAAAGGCTCATTCTATTATTAATTGTGTGAACCATCCACTTCATCCACTCTTTTATCCCTACTGCGTCTTGTCTCCTAAATGGCAAATAATTGTCCTTGAATTTTCTATCATTATTATTGTTATTATTGTTTTATAGTATTGTTCTGCTTGTTCTTATCCTCCTGCTGCTAAACTAAATTCCCCTTGTGGGACAATAAAGAAATTGAATTGAATTGAATTGAAACAGATTTATTAAATCTTTAAATCACAAAATGTTAGTAGGGGTAACAGTCTTAAGAGTTCTGTATTGGTGGGCTGTCATTTTTGAAGATATTTGGAAAAGAAAAAGATCTTTAACTTACAATATAAAGTGCATTACGCTGTATAAATGACATTTAATTCAATCAAATTGAAATGGTGGCACATTTGTGAAGTGGTGTGTGTACCTTTGTTAGCTTCTCTAAAATGGGTGAAGGTAACCCTAGGATCTATGTTTGCAATTCAATTCTTTTGACCAAAACATGCACATGCTCACAAAATTAGCATATGAGAATGTGAAAAAAACCTAAACGAATTGTGTTCCAGCACAAATTAAATCCAGGATATGTTCCTATCGTGGTAATAGGCTGCAGTTGCATCTCAAACAACCTCAGGACAGAAAAAACTATTTGAGGTCAAACTTGTTTGCTGATACAAACTTCTGTCTTCTGGCCTCCGATCACAGCATTAAGTCCCAAGTGTATCTGTGTTTGTGCATTTGTGTGTGGAAAACACGCATAATGTCATTAGCATATAATATTTGTATCCCTACGTTTGCGTGCGCTTCATAAGACTGTCCGTGAGTAATGTGGAAGACAATAGTCACCATTTGTTTTCCGCTCCTTCTCTAATTAGAACAGTACTTCACCTTGGGAATACTTCTGCACTGCAGTTCAGTGCGCACACCAGATCACTGAGTGTACAATGTGCCTGAGAAAATGTGTGGGATGTGTGTTTGGGGTAAAAGCCAACCAAAGTAGAAAAACAGCAGCATCAGGGCCTCTGATTTAGGTTTCCTTCTAATCACGTTCACGTCATTTTTCCTCCTTAATGTATTTTGCATCCCGGTCTTTCTCCCTCTCTCCCTTTTTCTTGCTTAATATCTCCTCCATTGGGTATAATTTTTTTTCCCCATTTAGATGATGAGACATCTTCTAAAATGAACAACCCCACTGTGATGTAGTGTTCGTATATACATTTAAGACTTTGCTTTTGTTTTTGTAAACCGTTTGATTTATGAAGAAAATCATACTTCCACATGTTGTCAGTGCTCATTGGATGTGCTCACTGCTGTTTGTTCTTACAGTGGTTATTACTTTGTTGTGAATTGATATATATTCCACATGCTTTTTGTGTGATCGGATAAAAATGAAAAACCGAATGAGAGAAATTATTCGATTTTGACAGACGCCTTCAGATTTAACTTTTTTTTTCCTTCCAGAAATGCAGCTCCAGTTTTAATTGCCATCTGTGTTGATGCACTCAAAGCACATCAAAGACAGAAACTCCATTTTATGTCTGTTCTTGAATAGCAGTTCAATATGGCATTATGTGTTAATAATTTATGCTACACCACATAGACAAAAATTCAAGGACAAAAAAATCCACAGTCATCAGACCACTTAAAATGTATTGCTTTGTCCTAAATAGATAATCTCACTCGCCACCAAAACAGGATAAAAGAATAGGACCAGCAAAAGGAAAGATTACTCATTAGTGTAAAATCAGGTCAGAGTTGATGTCTGAGACAAAGCAGGACAAAGGTTTTCAAATAGCAAACCTTTAGACTCACAAATAGAGAAATAGATGCTACTATATCACACTCACAAAGGTATATCTGTGTTTTGTGTACCGATGTTACGATACCAGAAATTTAATCATTAGTACCAGTACATGTAGAATTGCATGATGATGATTGCTGAGTAGCCTAATAACCTTACATTACTTACATTATGTTAGCTACATCGGCGGTCCCTACCCTTTTTGCACCACGGACCGGTTCATGTCTGACAATATTTTCACTGAAAGGCCGTTAAGGTGTCGCGGATAAATACAACAAAATAAAACCAGCACCAGTACCAAAATAAGGACGATTTATTCATAACACACAGGAAGACACCCAGGGAAACCAAGTTACTGATAAAAACAATAACAAAAATAATGATAAAAACCATGAAAACCATCAATTTCAAACCCAAGCCTCGGTACCAAACGAGACACGGACCAGTACCAGTCCATGGCCCGGGTGTTGGGGACCGATGAGCTACCTTACATTTATATAACGTTCGCAATTGCAAACTCTTTAGCCTATGGAACATAGCTAATTTTGCAACAGCTGCTGCACAGTTTTTTTCCTTTTCTTAAGTTTGTCTTATTTCTTGAGCATGTAATGATAGACGAGAGCACTATAGATGTATGCTTCCCCCCGACTTAAGGAAAAACTGCCGACTTGGCTCCTACGATTTAGGTCATAAACTAATCAAGAAAGTGTTAAGTTGTGTCATAGATTAAAAGAGCTGCATGGTCATTTTCCCATAGGCTTCTATTCCATTGGACTTTTCATAAAAAAAGATGTTGCCCTGTGATGGCCATTATCAATAATACGGGTTTTAGGCACTTTACAGTAAGTTGCTTTGACTATATACAGTCTGTGTTTTTGCATGCTTTTGAATTCACACAACATATGTTTTGACCTTAACTTGCTCTTGCACGTGGTTTGAGCACGTGTCCATGTTGGTGATCCTGCTCAACTGTGTGACTCTGGGGATGTATCGGCCCTGTGAGGACGTTACCTGCCAGTCAGAGTGGTGTCGCATCTTACAGGTAAGTGCTGCACTCCCACACTGTCAGCTGGGCCTGCTACACAGTATGCAGTAATGTCAGCAGCTGATTGGTTGTTGATTAACTTACTGACATGTTCAAGAGCTTTTTCAACAGAAGCACCATTCACTACAAAGACAAGAACCATATTTTTTACTTTTATTTTAACTAAGCTACTTCAATTAGTGTTTTAAATTATTACACATATGCAACCACAATGCATAAAAACACTCATGAAAAAAGTTAATTATTCATTTTCCTCTTTTCACACCCATTTATTTCTATAAGCTTTCACTGTAGTGCGATGCTGATTCCTGACACACTGAGATCTTCTCATTATATTCGAAGAGAGACATTCTTTTTGCTGTAAAATGTCTAATTAATTGAGACACAACCATAAACATGGTACGCCCGAGTTATTCCCTGCTGGGATAAAACTAACTAACTGATAAAAGCAGTCTTTGTCAGAAAACCTCCTCTAGCATTTCCACTTTTCTTGGTTCAGAACGCGACTGTTTTGATAAGAAGACTTAAAAAGGATCGTTCACTTTGCAAGGATTCCACTTCCTCTTCTTTTTATTGTTGTCAAAGCTTATTTTTGTCTGTGTTCTTGTCACTTTATCCTTTGCGACCAGGTGTTGGATGACTGCATCTTCGCTTTCTTTGCGGTGGAAATGGTTATCAAGATGGTGGCCCTGGGAATTTTTGGCTCCAAGTGTTACTTTGATGACAAGTGGAATCAGCTTGACTTTGTCATTGTCATGGCAGGGTTGGTATCCCACTGTGCCTTTTGCTCATCTCCACTAATTGCTCAATTATCTCTATCACCAGCAGCTTAAATATTAACAGTCTGCTTAGAATAAAAGAAAAAAGAAAAAGCACTTTATTTCTTCCTCCTATACTATATAAATAGGGCTCTTTACACCTCACACATTCAAGTTGTAGGTCATTCGGTGGTTCACCACGCCCAATTTGAAATCCATGGCGACTGATCCCATGACTTTGACACACACTTCCCTTGTGCTTATTTTACATTGAATAACTATTTAAATAAACTTTAGTTTTGCTCCACCTACATATGCATAAGATTTATGTCGCATTAATGAAGGGTAGGAAGAAATAGGGATGCAGAAATAAATACTGAAAGCAATATAATGTTCAACATATGCAATAAAATATATATCTATGTAAGTTTCTGTCAGCTTGTCTGTCAGTTGGAGCAATGTTTCTCTATTATTCGTTAGCCAGTCTGTTATGAGGCACATTCTCCACATAATTGCAGAGAAAAATGTAAACATGTTTAGGACCATCATTATAGCCTTCTGTCTGCTCGTTGTCACACTCATTATGTTTGCATGCTGTATCACAGACTATACAGAAGAAAAAGTGCTTCTGACTTTATGCAATTAAATGGCAAATGCACAGTAATTATGTGGGTCGCTTCAATTACAACCTTTATTAGATTATTGGTGTTTCATTTCATTTTCTTGTTGTTGCTGTTTTGTGTAGACATAAATGTGTGTGTGGTCACCATTTCGTTTTTATAACGTCTATGAAGTAAAACCTTCTCCACCTCTCTCTCTCTCTCTCTCTCTCTGCGACCATGTCTTCAGGATGTTGGAGTATTCCCTGGATGGCCACAATGCCAGTCTGTCAGCTATCCGTACCGTCCGAGTACTCAGGCCACTGCGGGCTATCAACAGAGTACCAAGTATGCCAGTTTCTTAGTTGTGGTTTGGCTCATATTTTCCCATATATGCAGGGTTTTTACAGCATTTCCCCAATGATTAATGTAAAGCTGTATATTTCTATCTGCCTGGTGTTACTCACTTTGAACTAAGGAAGACAGAGCAGTGTTTTGCTGTGTTTATTCTCAGCACTGCGTGGTAAATTGACCGATGATCAAGACTTTGGTTTTCATCTCACTTTGTGCCAGCCAGCGGGATCTTGCACATAGTTTGTCAATTTCCTAAAAGCTCTGTGACAGAAATAACCATGAATCTACAGCTAAAGGGGATCACTACACAATGGTGTCATAACAACTTACAAGGTTATTAACCAGCATACATTAGGCAAGCAGCCAAGGTCTTTTTCCGGACTCAGCTGCCAGTATTGGTAGCCTTTAAATATATATGTATTTATGTAAGGTTGTTTTTTTCTCATTTTCATGTATATTATAGATTTATTGCACATAAAGTGAAATATCCATATCTCTTGGCTTAATTTAGCACACCCAACCATATGGTGGTGGTTGGTCCACTGTATTTACTCAGTTCCAAATTCAACCCAGCTGTTTACCAGGAGATTTTAAACCGCTTTGTGCTGTCACAAGCTTTATGGAGATGCAGATTTCCTTTTCCAGCAGGACCTAGCACCTGCCCACAGCGCCAAAACTACTACTACCTTTGCTGACAGGTTATTACTGTTTTTGACTGGCCAGCCAACTCACCTGACCTGCACCTCACAGAGAATCTGTGGGTTTTGTCAAGAGGAAGATAAGAAGCACAGATCCAAAACTACAGGCGAGCCAAAGGCTGCTATCAAAGCAGCCTGGGCTTCATTAACGCCTCAGCAGTGCTACAGGCTGATTGCGTCCATCCCATGCCATGCTGATGCAGTCATTTGTGGTAACAGATCCCCACCTACGTCACTTTATAGACATTTCTGCATGTTGAAGAATTGAAGATACTTGAGTTGTGTGTGTTTAAGTTTTCTTTGGGGAATTTAAATGATGATGACCTCACATTCATGAGTGACACTGGGGGCTGCACTGCTGCTAACTCATACACTGTCACATAGCATGGAAGACACAGTGGGTCAACACATTAACATTATCACCAAGCTAACAGTAGTTCTGGGAAAAACTTAAAGCTGTGCACAAGGTGAAATAAAACTTATTATTACTGCAACAAGTGTTCAGTTGCTCCCTAAAGGTGGGTTGGTAGATGGAGGCAGATAGAGAGAGGACAGAGGGAGAGAATGTCAGTGAAGACCCAGCTAGCTTAGAGATAGAAATTCAAGGTCAGTGATCTTGAGTTTTCTTGCCCCAAGACACAAACATACCTGAAAGGCGATGTTCATATGCTCACAGGTACACACAACACTGGGCCTCTTCTGTTTTTCTTTTTTTCTTTCACCATAAATATAGTGTCTGTAAGAACGAGCCACGTAGATAAGGCTAACACAGCTTTTCCTCCTCTGTTCTTCTTTCTCTAATCAGTCTGTCTTTCTGTTTTTCTTTCTGCCTAAGAGGATGGGAAATATTCATTGAACTACAAATGTTAACTGTGTCTTTTGTGCTGTAGCTTAGAAACAGTGAGCACCGCACTCTGATTATTTCATGTTCTCAAGGTTGATACGTGCAGGGGGCTTTTGCAAAATCTCTGCCAACTGCCTTGTGCACTCCCAGTCACATACTTTTACCGTCAAGTGAATGCGTTAGCGCAAGCCTGTTATGGTGCTGGAAACTATTACATTTACCCTGTGTGAAATGATCGCAAATTCTTCAGCCATCTGTCTAGTTTTGACTGCATGACTGGGTTTAGAAAAGCACTAGCCTTCCTCAGTTTCTTACTAGGTCAGTTTCTTGTTATGAGCAAAAAAAAAAAAAAAGGTAAGTGAATGCCCATGAATGAAAAGCACAAGCTGACAGCAATGATAACGAAATCTCCAAGGGCATCTTTAGAAACATGGCTGATTTCTCTGGTGGTTCAAGCCAGTCTCTTGTCATCACAACTTGACAGCGAAAACTGTTGTGGGTGACAGTAGTTCTGGCTTTTAAAAATACAATTTTTGTATTTTTTATATTTTGATTCCAAGGATTCCAAGAAAGCAGACTTCCTTGGTCTTGAGTTATAGTTTCCCCCATAATTTCTGAAGGGAAGTTTAAGTTTTTCTTTTGAAATTGGCTCCTTTATCACTCATTTTCAGTCCAGTTCTTTTACCCAAACCTTTTTTACTGGGATGCGTTTTTTTTTTTTTTTTTTTAAGCCACTAAACACTGACCTATGAAAAATTCAAGTAAAAGTAGTATAAAAAAGACCCTTAACTGAAGGCATGAAACAGTAATGCATTGTAGCATAACTCAGCAAACCTAGCACATAACCAATTTTAAATTGTAGCCGTTTTGTTACTAGAACAAATAATTTGTTGCCATTTTATTTTTATTGCATTTATAAAAAATCCCAAAAGGTAAAACAGATTTGCAGGCATAAACTTATATTTTTGCACCAACAACATGATTCCCAAAGAGCTATTAGCTGAGCTGGAATAACTTAACATGGTGTGCAGTGAGTTCTTAATAAGTTTGACAAGTAGAGGACAAAAGAAGAAGTGGCAGGCTCAAAGAACTTATTTACAGCACATGATCAGTATCTGAAATTTATGCCCTGAAAGCTGGACACGGATGCATCTGGCCTTTATCTGATCCAGCTACTGTTCACTGAGGCCTCATCGGAAATGGTCTAAGTCTCAGGGAAGGGAAACAGGGAGAGAAGGTTGAGTTATGCAAAAGTACACAAGAACTGGACTGAAAATCAGTGGCAGCAGGTCTTATAGAGTAGCTACTTTCAGCTGCTCCCTAATTCACAAGGGGTTGCCACAGGAGGTGGCTCCACACATGTGATTTAGCACATTGTGTTGCCTAATGCCCTTCCTGACACATTCCCAAAGGGGTTTGTTTCTTCTCCCAGGAGGGATAAATGCACATTTGACAACAGTAAACACGAGGCAGCCAACATCCAAAGAAGAGCTTTGGATGTCATTCAAGAAGCCCGGAGAACTATTCCTGAAAACTACATATAGACATTACAAGAAAGTTTGCCTCAGACTGTTGGTAAAAATAAAGGTGGCCATATCAAATATACCAAATACCATTTTAAACCTGTCACTCAGAGAAATTAATTCAGTGACATTAAAATGAAAGGTAGAAGATTACTAAAGTGAGGCAACAGGGATTCAACAAGATGGATAACCTTAGCTGATGAATGACTACAATTAGCAATGTAATGACAGCTTTTATCTAAATGTGACTCATTCATATATGATTTTTTTTATGTATATTTAATAATAAGAAGAGTAAAAGAAAGGATAGTCACATTTTACACATTTCAATAATAACTGCATTGACAATAAAATGTTTCTTTAGCTTCTGGCACAGATTTAATAGGAATACTATTATCTTAATTCTTAGGCCCATTCTGATAACTGTAAAACTGGCAAACAAGACATTTGTTTGTTTTCCACTGATGATGATAATGGCTACAGGTAGAGTTTTCTCACGCTGTTGCACAGCACAGACAGTTTGGTCTCAGGATGAAGATTTAAATTTAATTATCACTACAAAGGTAAAAACTGGCAACTCTGTGCCACAGAAAGAATAATAATATCATAGCACTGCACATGTGATCAATGTGACAAAGCTGTGATATATGGAGGAGGAGACAGGGGACATTGTGAGGACCTCGGGGACTGGATCCCTGATGCTGCTGACGCTAAGCACATCTGACATGGGAGATGGATGCTGAATGCACGTGGTTAGATAATAGTAGCCACAAGGAAGCTGCGAGTTCAAATCCCAGAGGATGAAACGATGTCAATCTGTCACTTTCAGTATTGTCATCTGTTGTAATTATAACGTGTGCGAGGATGAAGTTGTTGGCTCCAAAAACATAAGATTAATAGAGCTCGTCAAGGTAAAAGTAAAAGGCTAGCTCGGATGGGTTTTATATTATGTCTGTCATGAATGTCGGGTGCTATTAGTCACACATCTTTGTTGTTTGTATCCCACTGTGTAGGTATGAGGATCTTGGTGACACTGCTGTTAGACACTCTGCCGATGCTGGGAAATGTTCTGCTCCTCTGCTTCTTTGTCTTCTTCATCTTCGGCATTGTGGGAGTCCAGTTGTGGGAGGGACTGCTGCGCAATCGCTGCTTCCTGGGAGAGGACATCGAAACGTGAGGAATTCCGCCTTGTGATGTAGGATAGGAATCTCTTGATCTTTTATGTCAAAGCTGCATTTGATTTTTTTGAACGATACATTTTGGTGAAACTGGGATCCAATTTAAAATTATTTTCCTTGAAAACTGACAAAAAAGGGATGAGTGAACGAGAGCCTGACTGATCATACCAATACCAGTGTTTAGGGATGTAAAACTCAATATATCGAGCGATTTTTTTTTTTTCAGGAACATGGAATATAAACAGATTTCCTGTATATTTGTCATTTATAGTAATTTATTTGCTCGTTCATGGCCGTTAGGTTGTATTTGTGGCGCTGTGTTGTAGAGTGCCCTCTGGTGGACAACTATGTAATCCAACAGTCCAGATATGGTTGAAGGGTGTTTCTCCTCTCTATTCTGTACTTTTTTAATTGTCTTTTATCAGTCGTTATAAAAGTTGCTACCGATACATCAGCAAATACCTAATATCGATCACTAATATCAGCCCACTGATAAATCGGTCAGGCTCTAGAGTGAAAGGTACAATCTCGGTCTGTAAAGCTACAAATTGCTTGACAAATATGATATTTTAGCTTCCTCCCTTTTTAGTCCTGTCATAAATTCTGTTGTCATCTGGGGTGATAGTTAGCAGTAGTGAAAATGTAGAACTTCTAGCTTGTTAGAGTATGCACAATGCAGAGAAGTGGAGCAATGCTGTATCAATAAGAACAGGTCAATGTGCTGGTTTCTGTACTCTGAGACAAAGAAATAAAAATACCCCATCTTTGTAGATAATGTGGCTAAAAATATAGACATTCTAGAAACATGCTGTGTCCCTCAATAGAAAGAATTTAAATTAGCACCTATGATCATTGAAAATCATCTCCAAAAAGACCTAGAACTTATCAGCGCAAGAGAAAATTAATTCAGGAGACACTTTTAACTTTGTGGAGTGAAGTGATAAAGCTACTTTCGACTGCTCCCTTATTCACACGGGATCGCGACAGCTGGTAGCGCTACATATTTGATTAAGCAGATTTTTACACTGGATAGACTTCCTGATGTAACATCCAATGGATCACTACCTCCTCCCGGGAGTGAACCAGGAATCTTTTGCTTGGTAGGCAAATGTTTAAACCACTGCACCATAAAATTCCTGAATATGTGTAAAAGTTTTCTTGCTCAGTCCAGATTGTAGGAAATGGCAGACCATAGGTACTGACCTGAAACCAAGAAAAGATACAGCTTCTGTCGATGTGAGACAGAAAACGAGTCAGCACTGACAGACCCACAGCCAAGAGAGAACACAGTGTTCGCTCTGTTACCAAAGACGGGAGAGGAAAACGCTGCATTTCCCTTCTATGCAGCTTGCATTGTGGGAATACTCGATGAACCTATTTTTTCACATTTAGCTTTTCTCGTCTTGTGATATAACAAGATCGGATACAAAAACAGCAGACAAGCTTACTCCCTCAAAATCAAGTACACACACACAAACAGCCAAAATCGAGCTCAGTCATCATTTTAGCCGTGGGGAGTGATTTTATGCAAGAGAAAAATAATAAAAGTTGCTTGAGTAGCCACATCCTCACAACGCCAAAAGAGGCATGAACTAATTGTGCTTTTGATGTAATGGCACAAATTGTCCCAGAGTTAATGTTTCTTTGAGTAGATAAGAAAGACAGATAGAAAACCACAGCTTAATACTTAATATAAAAGATGCTGTGATTCCTTTCAGAGAACAAATCTATCTGACTTCCAGGGTAAAATGAATCACTGCCCTCTGAAATAACACATGCACATGCACATACTCTTGCACTAAGCGTCTCCACAATTTCAATTGATTTTTTTCCTTTATTTCCTATTTTAGTGAGTGTTGCAGGCATTTCTTATCATATGCAGTGCCGTGGAGAAGTGTTTGCCCGCTTTCTGAGGTCTTATTTTTCTTTCAATATTCTTTTGTGACCTCCTGGATGAGTTGCTGATGTGCTCTTGGAATCACTGTTCCATGTTTTCAAAATTTATGGCTAGTGGAGTCCCAAAGCCTTTAAAATGGCTTTTTAACCCTTTCCAGACTGACGGATGTCAGTAACTTTCTCGGCTGTTTCTTTAGATGGTGGTATGGTGTGTTTTGAGGTCTTTTAGTCTTCTTCATTTTGTCAGACAGGTTCTGTTTCAGTGATTTCATAATTTATCAAATCTGGGAGTATCCATGAAGTTATTTTAAGGGAGGCCAATGACTTTTTCCTAAAGGGAAAGGTGGGTTATGATAGCTTTTTTCCCCTTAACAAATGCTCCTCATTTAAAAACTGCATTTTTTTATTTACTCAGGTTATGTTTGCCTAATTTAAAAATTATTTAGGTGATCTGAAGCATACAGATGTGACAAATATGCAAAAAAGTAAGAAATGGGTAAGGGGCAAACACTTTCTCATGACACTGAAGCTTTTGGCTTTTTTAAAGCCTTTGAAAAATAAGGAACATGATTTTTGCCTCGGCAGCATTAGGCAAACACACCACAACGGGAAAAAAAGATGACAGGAATTATGGGAATGGTGTGAAAATAAAGCAGTGCACGGTTGCTAAAGCCTTCCGTGTTAGTCGGGCATAAATATCCCTTCACGCAGTAACTGTTGTGGAGAGCTCTCCAATTTAAAGGGAGGAGTATAAATAAAATAGGTAATCTGTGGGATGCACTCAGCACTCTCTACCACGAATAGGAAACACCTGTCACCATGGATACCAATAAAAAAAATCTTGTCATAAAATAAGGGCCATGTTGTTTTTGTAAGTGAAGGATTCAAAGTGTAATGACAACTTGTGCGAATAAAAACATGAATATGGTATAATAACAGTTTTTCTATTTACTGTATCTTTCAAATGCTGAACACTAGAGCAGAAAGGCTGTTAAAGGGGTTGATCTTTTCTCCCCACATAGGTGGAGTGGATAGACAAATATTTTAGAGGCCATAGAGGGCGAGCCACCCAACCATCAATCTTTTTTTATCACTTATTCGGCTCTGACTGGAGCAGCTAGAGCTTTTTTAAAGATTATTTACAGGAAATACAAACTTCCTATATTATCTCTATAGATCCCCCAAAACAAGAGAAGCAAACCAGAAATAACTGAGAAGCCTCATCGAAATCATCAGTCATTCGTGTTGAGGTTTTATAACACGACGTATTGGCTGCAGTCATGATTTGATTTTTAAGCCACTAAGCAATTATAAGACAGAGAGTTCATCAATCCTATTACCATATTGTTGAGATGATTTGCTGATTAGAGTGGAAATCTCTGACTGAGATGTTTTGGAAGAAGAGAACACTGACTGTAATTTGTGGGGTATTTATGTTTGCCCACATGCGTGTGCTCGCAGTGATATTTGTGTTATTCTTTTTCTTTTTTTAATCCAGAATGTACAACATGTCTTTAAATCCTTATTACATGTCTGAGGAAGGTGAAGACAGCCCGTTTATCTGCTCGGCTCCACGCGAAAACGGGATGCGGCGTTGCAAAGATGTGCCACCCTACTCTCAAGACGGGCTCGAATGCACATTGCCGGCTTCTGACCTGAGTTTTAGGAGTGTTGCCAGCGGTAACTTTTGTGTTAACTGGTATCAGTACTACAACGACTGCCGCCCAGGGGAGCTCAACCCTCACAGGGGAGCTGTCAACTTTGACAATATCGGCTATGCTTGGATAGCCATATTCCAGGTAAGCGGGGACAAATGCGCAGATTTGTTTGCAGAAGGTAAAACCCAGAAACCAGTATTTGCTGTTTGCCATAGTTTTGGAAGTTTTGGTTTTCAGTTTTGTTGTTTGTTAAATCACCAAAGACAATATTTGGACTGGGCATTTTATCCATATAGAGTAACCTCAAACTAGAAAATATCACATACTACCGAACACAGTAACTGTTTACTCTCACCTGACTGTCTCAGGGTTTCATTTCATCCCCTAACACTGACATAATATAAATGAAAATCTTCAGCTTAATGACATTTCTGTTAGGATGCCTGGGTCGTTGCCCCCGAGTTTTGAGTTTATTATATTATTAATCATTTCTAGTTTTTTGGTTTCTTTGTTAGAGTTCTGTCTTATGGTTTATGTCTCTGTGTTCTCTAGTTGCTCTGTCTCCCCTGTCAGCTGTATCCCCTTGTCAATTCCGTGTCTCTGTGTTATGTTTCCTGTTTTACTTTGAAAGTCCGTGTCTTACGTTAATGTGTCTGGTTTTGCTTCCTTTGTCTCGTTAGGCCTGAGTTGCCCCAGCTGTGTTTCACTCCTGTTTCCCTTTCCCTGATTGGTCCCTCTGTGTATTTAAGCCCTGTGTTTCTCTGTGTCCGTGTCATGATCTACTCTTATCCACCCTCATCTGTCTGTCTGTCTGTCTGTCTGTCTGTCTGTCTGTCTGTCTGTCTGTCTGTCTGAGCTTATTTTGTATTCTCAGTTTTGTTACCCTTTTGAGTTCAGCATTAAAGCTGTTTTTTGAGTTCACGTCTGTCTCCAGAGTCTGCACTTTGGGTCCTTTTCCTGCCTGCACGCAGGCATTTCATAACAATTTCACACTAATACTGGCTTAAAATGAATCGTATAAATAAATGAAGGCTGATGTTACTCTATCTTCTTAACCCACAAATCAGAGATGTCCAATTTGCATCATAAAAAAAGCGCGTAGGTGTGGCTTTTTCAGCCATTGGTTAGTGAAGCCATTAAAGAGTATTCAGGTTTGAGGCACTTCCCCATTGTCTTTCCTTTTCAGACCCCGACCATAGGCAGTGCATGCGATATAATAGTGTTTGTCCAGGATCAACACTGAAAATGACGACTCATGTTGTTGCAATGTCTTAGTTTATGGAATATGGCAGAAAAAGAAAACATTGCCTTTGCTTATTAAATATCTCTTCTTGAACATATTTAAGCAGTTCAAATTTTTACTCATTTATATAATATAATAAATAATTGTTAAGTTCTGTTACCTGTTAGCTTAGGTTACCAAGCTAACTTAGGCTACTAAGCTAACATATAAGCGGTTTGACAGCCAGTGGGTTTTTTTGCAACCAAGATGACGATGGATTTCTGAAACCAAAAGGTGACATCACTGTCTTCACTGCTATTTACTACTTTAAGAGTAAATCAGGCTTATTCTGTGTCTCCGTGATCTGGAATAGAGTTTAAATAGAGTGAAGTGGCATTGAGAAACCAGGTAATTGTATTTTTGCAAGCTTGGCCTGGAAGCCACTGGATAATCTGTTTACTTCTGTGTTCTCTCTCAGCTACACGGTGTCATAATATCGCTCCTTCACATATATACTACAGTTGCCTTTCGCAAAATGGCTTAACACAGCCCAAGATTTGTATTTCGATTTGTCCACGTCCATAATGAATTAGGAATCCTGTGGTGAATTAATCAGGAACTGATTACAAAATATGTGCCTTTAGAGCTGACATTTAAATTCTTGGTTAGTTAAGTGAATGAGGTAATCAGGTGGTAAATGTACAGTTTACAAGACCTGCATAGATGTTCTTGGCTAAATGTTTTGTACCTATGTATGGTTTGTTTAGCATACGTTTACTGTTGACACATATGAACTCCTTGGTTGATCTTCTGCATTAGAGAGCAGAGTAGTCTCCTCTGGGTGCTTGTGTGTGCATGTCTCCCTGTTTGTGTGTAGGTGGATTTTACGCATGTGTGGTGTCTGTTTTTGGTATGCTTGTTCACAATTTTCCATTCACACAGAGGTATGTGCTGGCATCTGAGCCTAATGTACATACATTCCTGCTAATCTGCATGCTCCGTCAGTTTTTGCAGTGGTGTTTCAGGCTCCGCTGAGGTGTAAATGTTGAGGTGTGATTGTATTATCAGCTTGGCTGAACTTAGCCACCGTTTTCAAGTCTCAGAATCTCAAATGCTCATTAGCATAGTGGCTACATGAGAGAATTGTTTGATTTTTTTTGCACTAGCACTCACACACAAACACACACATCCTTTATAACATGTTTTAGGGACACTGCAGACTTTCTTCAGAAGAATAGCCATTAAAAACATAACTGGAAATCTGATTGCTGTATACTGGAGTACGTATGTGTCTCTGGGTATTGGTGTACATGTGTGGGTGTCTATGCCATTTTTGAAGAAAAAGTAATGGGCAGAGCTATATAGGAATGTTTGCTTTTTATTGAAACTAAAAGGCTCCCACTCTCTGTCTTTTTGTCCTCTATCACCAGGTCATCACACTGGAAGGCTGGGTAGACATCATGTACTATGTCATGGATGCTCACTCCTTCTATAATTTTATATATTTTATACTGCTCATTATTGTAAGTACCTCATTATTTTTTTTGTTTAACTTCTCTTTATATTCTCTTGTTTTGCTAGAGCCTTGAAGCAACGACAAAACGTGATTGGGTCCAAAATATCTTGTTTTAAAGGACCATTATTTTTCATTTTTGCAAAGGACTAATTCAGATAAATGTGAACGCCTGCAGCTTTCTAAGCCTGATCGACTTTTTGTTGAGGAGACAGCTGTCTATAGACAATTTTCCCTGGTTTGGGATTTTTAATTGACCTAGTCAACTAAAAACAGACACTGGATTTAGTTTTCAGACTGACTGCACTTAAGTACTTTCAATACAAAATGAGGAATTAATAACCAGGTGGAGAAAGTGCTCATCTAATTTGCAATTCATCTTTTAGTACCACACGCTAATGACATATTTAGCATACATTTCATTATTGAGTTGACATTTCAAAGTTATAGTAAGGACAAAGCCAACTCATTGGAGGATCATTTAAATTTAATTATTTCTAAGTAACTAAAAAACTTTTCAGTTTTATGTTTACAGTGTTTGACCAAGCAGGTAGCATCTCAAATAATGAATAAGCTCTAATAATGCTCCTTATATTTTTACACCGTAAGGAGGCATAAAGTCAACAGTGAGTCAAATATTTATAAAGTAAACACTGTCTTGATTCTTTATACAGAATTAAAGGTGAAATACTTTTATGACCCTAAATCAACACTTTTATGGAGCAGGCTTTGACTCAGTTAAACACACTGTATCATTTTAGGTGTTGTTGTTGTGGTTTGCACTTTCTTTACCTTTCCCTTTTCAAACAGGTGGGCTCTTTCTTCATGATCAACTTGTGCCTCGTGGTCATTGCCACCCAATTCTCCGAGACAAAGCAAAGGGAGAATGCACTGATGCGGGAGCAGCGTGCTCGTTACATGTCAAACGACTCCACACTTGCCAGTTACAGCGAGCCGGGCTCGTGCTATGAAGAGATGCTACGCTACATTAGCCATCTTTACCGCAAGTTTACACGCAGGCTCCAGAGGATATACTCTGGCTGGCACAGGTACGTTACAGGTTGTTTTTTTTTGTTTTTTGTTTTTAATTCTGTAGAATATGTCTAGAAATGTCTAATGACGTAGCAATAAATGTGTTGTGTGGTGATGTTAGCAAAAAAACAGCAACTTGGACTTTGTTACTTAGGGTGGAGATGATAGCTCAAAAATGTATTGGTAAATGTAATGGACAATTTGTTCTAAAGCCCTCAACATCAACCTTAAAAATGCCAAGTAACTTTGGTAAGATGAAAAGAATCTCTAATCCAACACAATGCAAAAAAAAGAGAAACCATCACATGGTGCTTTTTTAGGTTAAGTTGCACTATTAGCACCCCAGACTGGTCTGAGACCTCATGGCAACCTATGGAAAAATGAGGTTCCTGCGGTCGCCCGTAGTTCGCACGGAAGACTGACTTGTCTGTAAGCACTCAATACCTACTATCTGAGCTGTGGTAAAAGTGCACTGCAACCCAGCTTTCACTTTCATGAAAAGTCTCCATTTCTGAATTGTGTAACACTTTTATCCATTTCACTACTACTACTGCACAATGCTGGATATCTCCTTGCAACCAAAACAGTAACAAGGAATCTTTTGGTGGATCACCATATAACTCTTGAGACCAGTTCCACATAACAACTCCCAGTGACCTCCAGCAACCATTTGCCAAATGTTTAGGGAGTACCTATTTTATCCACCCTATGTTGGCCAGTTGGTCACTCAGTGGCATCTAGGCCCATGTGACTGAGGCTTTTGCACTTGATTTCTCACCTACTGCCACTAACCACTTGCCAAATGGTCATGAAATTCATTGTTCCCTAACGACTTGCCAGGCTATGTGACAGGCTCACCTAATATGGCTCTATTAGTACACACTTTTAATTTTCGTTATCTAGTTAATTGCTTTCAGAAGTTGAGATCAGTAAATTAGCAAAAAACACGATAAGATCTTCACTCAACAACTCTCCCCTGGCAATAAATAAATAAATAATTAAAACAACCAGTGTTATTTTTCCACTACCCAATATATTAATTCTCTACATCCCTTTTATGTTTTGTTGTTAATTTGCAATCATTTTGCGGGATTTGCCAACCGTGCACCTCACAGAATTACATTGTGCCTGCCAGAAATATATTAGAAATGCATTCTGATGCAAACACAAATAAACAAAAATCTATCTTGAATAAATATTACTATTTATTACTAGCCACCCTTAATTATTATTCATGTCTCTTTTTTTCTGAACAGTAAACGTCGTAAAAAGGTGAATCCTAATGGCAGCAGTGGAGGCAGTAATGGTGGAGGTAATGGGCATGGCCACGGTTCCAGCAGGGGCTGCGGAGGGTCAGGCCCAGGTAACGCATTGTGGTTGAGGCCAATCCATAACCTTTTACAACACCATCAGCATCAGCACTGTCGTCTCAGCAATGGCGGGCAGCACACCGTCAGCGTGGCAACCACAGAGCACGTGGACAGAGAAGGACACATCAAAGTCGGGGAGGAACTGGAGATGAAGTCGCTTACCGTTCGGAGGGGAAGTGCAAATGGAAACAACGATAACTCGACCACTGTCACCCAGCGCGTGGGCTCATTACTCGGGCGACTGAACGGGGGGATGAACTATCCCACCATTCTGCCGTCTTTTGTGTGCAGCTATAGCAGCAAGACGCCACCCCCTCACTCAAAGCAGTGCGGTTCTTGTCTGGAGCATCCGCCGAACCACCCGGCTTCTGAGCACGCCGAGACACTGACCAAGCTTTACCAGCTCATGGGACAGCACAGTAAGAAAACAATCACTGCACACAGACACATGGGTGGATCTCAAAATTGTAGAATCCAGAAAAATATGGATGTTGAATCTGCGTCTATGGGAATACCACACTTTACTGCTCACCATTGTTTTTCTGGTCAGAAAGATCAGAGGTGAGTCAGCTAAAGGAAGCTGCCACTTTCAGAGTGTTTAAACCACAACCAAATATCTTACAAAGATAAAAGGTGAAAAAATAAAGCTTTTCTTTCGCTATTTGTCTTCCACCGTCCTTTAAGTCTCCTTCACATTCTCTTTGCGACGCTTTAGAATTCCCTCGGGCTCCATTATAGTTTTGTCATCACACTCACTTTCATTCAGTGCTCTTTCTTTTACCCTGCGTCCTCATCCCAAGCTTGACCTGAAATAGCCCGTGGCTGCTTCTGCGGTGTGTGTGTGCATGAGTCTCAAGAAGCACTTAGAGCCCTGACAGGAAATCCATGTCTCAAGTGTTAAAGTCATCAGCGCAGAGAAGTGGATAAAGGGGCAGGACTGACTGAATCAACACAGTGTGTGGGGGGAACAGTTAAAGGAGGAAAAGTATGGAGTGTTAAGGAATGTAAACAGGAATGCAGGTGTGTTATGGTATTCTGAAAACAAGTGGCTGAGGAAGGAAGAAAATATGGAGTTTATTAATGTATTCATAAAGTATGAAAGATTTAAGGCCCGCATTGAGAAGCTGAAAGAAGGCCGCCAAGAGAAAAATAAATTAGAGCAATAAAAAGAAAGAGAAGAGAGCTGGGGGAGGACACATAAAGGAGGGCTGGATTCGGGGATACCGAGAAAATAACAGAGAGCAGAAAGACAGGAGCTGCGCAGAAATGGTATGAAAGACATTTCTGTTGTGTCATTAAAGGGTGAGACTAACAGTAAGCACGAGAAACTGATGTTAAGCAGCCTGAATCCTTTTGGAGAGTGAGTGCAATGCTTAAAAAAATATCACCCTAAATTGTACTCTGTAGTAAAGATCACATATTTACTCATTTGAAGGGGGATGTGTTCTGTTTGCTTTCAGCACTGTTAGGTAACTCACTATCTGCTAAACCTTATAAGGTATGGCTTTAGAGTGTGAATCATGTTTTTGGTTCCTCTTCACTTTTGGAGGACCATGTTCTTGGGAATATTTTCAGCTCTGTAGCCCTCTGATTTCACTGTAATTGTAGCCTTATTGAATAACCTTATACGATGGGATCAGTTTAAACAAAATTTTCCCCGGACAAGGGTTTTGTACTCTGATGGAATTTGCAAAGGTAATTTGTGAGTATGTCAAGAACTGGAGAAGTGTTTAAGATTATAAATGACAATAAAATACAATGAGAGCACACACAAACCTTTTTTAATAGCTCGGGGTATAGACAGTGTTGTAAACAACTTTATGTGCTGTTAAAGCTGCTTTTGAAGAGCTGACGTTTTCAGAAGTCAAGCTTTGCCTGTGTTAGTTTTCAGCTGTGCTTTGCTCTGCAGTTCCTCTGTACTGATTTTAAAAGGCTCCAGTCAGAGAACAGAAGGTGAGACGAGGCAGCCGAGATCTCAAACTGTGGGCGAGCTTGCAGTACTCACTGCGGAAACTTAATGTGTGCTGGGCGCGTGCTGAAAAGGACGGCCCTTCAGCACAAAATGCAAAATTTCACTTATGTTAATGTCTTCGAGCTGGGTCGTTATACCACAAGGTTTGTCTCTTTGTCTCTTTATGTTGTCCTTATAAAAAAGTCGACCACATAAACATGTAGAAGCACTCATTTTTACTCCCCTCCAACTGTTCCACTTTTACAACAGTAAGCTTAACAAGCACCAGCAAGTGCTTTGCAGTAAAGGACTCGCCAATGATTCCCGGTGCTTTATACTACATAGAGTTGGTCCTACTTTGCTAATGGGGACTTCAGATCTTTTATCTTTTCTATTATTTATAGTTTTGATAAAGAATACACTTGGATCAAACGTAAATCAAAGCTAATGTCGAAATATATGATGTGCTTTAGTAGTAAAGATGCAAATTAGAGCCTAACTTTCATTGATTTCTTAAGTTGTCTAATAATATCACCATACCTACTTACAGATGATCCCTGCTTCAAATATGTAATTTTAAGAAAGTTTATTTTTATATTTACATTTAAAAACTTGATTTATTTACATTGATTTACTTGATTTACAGCAGGATATAGAATATATAATGTTAGAGTCGGACCGAAATAGGACTGATGCTGATACTTGGTGGTATTAAAAAGCTGATATATTGGCCAATATTTTCTTTTCTTTCAGACACACAAATATAAAAAGATTTCATTAAAAAATGTGTGTTGTTCTTATTTACGCACTTACACTCGATAAGACTAAACTTGGATTAGCTGTTTGTTTGCGGTGTTCAAAACATGTTGTAAACTGGGGAGCTGAGCGCCCTCTGGTGGACAGACTGTACAATGGCAGCATTCATATCGTGCTTGAAGGGTGTTTCTCTTGTGGCCTTTTTTTTAAACTTTAAAAATGTTCAATTAATTGCTGTTATAAATATCAATACCAATATACTGGGAAGTCGATATTAATTTAATATAATTTGTAAAAAAAAATTACCAAACCAAAACATGTTTGCTCATTAAAGATAAACACATAGGACAGTTATAGAAACTCCTTCAGCAATGTCTGACCATCATCACCCGTTCTTCCTTTCAGGTCGCCAGCGGCTGCTCTACCAGCTGGCGGGTATGGTGCCCAGCCCTCTTCTCTTGGAGCTACTTAGCTGCCCTTTGTGTGCCAGCAGCCTGGAGACCTTGGAGCTGGAACTGGGAGACCTAGAGGGAGGCAAGGGAGAGGCAGATGGACTACACGACTTCCCTCAGGTCAGAATGGATGGTTGTGGACTAATGATGATTTTAAACCTTGATGATTAATTCACAAGTGTTGATTAGACATATAATGATGATGAGCATGGTATATAAATAAATAAATACAATCTTTTAGTCTTCAAACCTAACACAGTGTTGTATTTGTGGATTATTTTGCATAGCGCCTAAAACTACAGTAATTAAAAAGCACAAGACGTCCTTGTTGGTGTTTTGACTTATTGTATCCAAAATCTTGTATCCAGGGGGCCGATGTGAGAGGAGTGAGGGGTCGGAGCAGACGCCGTGGGGTTGTTGAATACGAAAATGGAGTGGTTCGTGCCTGGAGGGACCTCAGGGAAAAACTAAAGAGGATTGTGGAAAGTAAATACTTCAACCGCGGGATCATGATCGCTATTCTTGTGAATACTCTCAGCATGGGAATAGAGTACCACGAGCAGGTAAGACACAGGGGATAGGGTGTCGGGCGGATTTTGCTTTTCTGGGAATATGACACAAATCAGTGGTTTAAAGCTAAGAGGACTACTGGTGACAGGAGTTTAGTGAAAACGGGTAGCAAGTGTGTTTAAACAAATGCCTTTTTATGGCTCGTTCAGTCTGGGAGTCTGAATGAGAGGAAACGAGAGTTAGAGATGGAGGCAGAGTGAAGAGGGCTGAGGGGCTGAAGGAAATAAAGGGAAGGAGGGGGGTGGAAGGAGTAGCACCCACTCGTTTCCTCTTTCTCACACATAAATTACACGTCCAGGCACTGTCACACACTCCAGACTCACAGTTTCGACTTTATCCTATGTGGCCAACATCTGGAAAGTTTTACATTAAATAATACCATTGCTCTTTCCCTTCTCCGGTGTCACACGGACACATTTATGTAATGATATTTCACATTTACACATAGGAGCTGTTTCACTTCCCAGCAGGTCTGGAAATGGCTACAAATTCAAAGAAGAGATTCTGGTGCATGAACAAAGACCATTCCCTTCTTTCCTCTCTCTCTGTGTCTCCATGTCTCCCTCTCCAGGGGGATGTGTGTGCGTGTGTGCGCACATGTGAGTGTGTTTCTATCTTAGTGGCATAAACATAAGGAGCGACTAGAAGAACCATGGCCTTTTTAGGGCAATGACACACACATACACACACTCAAGCACACACATACACATGAAGCGAAGTGTTAAATACGAGTTCCTCCTCCCTTCAGTAGTCATCATCCCACATATGTTACACCTCGCCAACTTTTTGAGACCATGAGTGTAGCTGCGTGCGCGCGGAGAGGTGTATAAATGTGGGAGGCATAGTGCAGACTTTGTATGTGTGTAGAGACACAAAGAGAGAGGAAAAGAGAACAAGGGAGGCGATCAATGCTTGTTTTGGCTGCATTTAGATTTCATTTTAGAAATAGGCCGAACGTAAAATCGAGGTGTAAACTGACGTGCGCATAGTTTTCACACATGGAGCGTGGCACCCATCAGATGAGGTGCTGAGCTGATCTTTAACCTCACAAATTTCATTACAAATTAAATTACAAATTAGCGGGCCTTGATTGCAACATAAAAACTGTGTCTCTTGTTACTTAATCAAAGGTGGTTTGACAACAACAAATGCAATTTGTGCAATTTTAAACGTACCTACTTAATTCTCATAAGAAATAACAGGTTTCTGGTTACTTTGGTTCACATGTGAAAGATTTTTTTATGTGCATAACGTTCATGTATGTTACAGTTGTATTAATCCTGTCCCTGATTAACATTCACGGGTTCACCGTGTAAAATTAAATACATAATAGATGTTAAGGTACACTGCGTAACTGAGTCCACATGATTAGGCTTAGATTTTTACAGGGCTGGTATTACGATAATCAATGTTTTTTTCTGTACACTGCTTTGTACGGTGTGAGGTATGCAAGTCTCTGTTTTGCTTTTTGTCCTCTTGTTCCTAAGGGCAAGGTCATATGCAGAGCTGTGTTCAAAATTCTACACTCGAAATGCCTCCTTGTGGGTACTGAGAGTATTTCATTTTGATTGACCACCGCATTGGTCAAATGTAAGGGTGGAAGTAGAAAACGGCATCTAAAGCAATAGTCCAGAGTGCTCGATGGGGACCATAAAACAAATTGATATACGCTTAAGAGCTTGTTATAATTGTTAAACCTCTCAGTTTCAAATGATCGCAGCAATACAGAGTCGATTGTTTCATGAGGCTGACGACTCAAAGGCACCTTCACTGTCATTATTAATATGAAGAAAAGTGCTTTTTTCAGCTTTTCCAGTCCAGTTTTGTTTTTCATTTGCCCAACAACTTAAAAATGCTTTTCTTTGAAGGTGAAAGGAGTAGCATATGTAGCTTTTGCTGTGGCGTGAACTCAAACCCAGGCCCTGTTGTGTAGCCTTGGGCGTGCAGGGATCCCACTCAACCAGGTTAGCTGTAGCGGCACCCACAGCTCTATACCCTGGAGTTGTTTTCATTTATTTTATTCTACCATGTCAGACATAGTGTGCTGTCCTTTTTCAACATGCTGTTAAGTGGTACACAGACTGAATAAGAATCATCTGCAAAATTCTTTTTCACTTCTCCAGTGTAAAGACGGAGGGCCACTGAGGTACTGAAAATGCCATTAAGTCCAGTGTTAAACAATAATACATGTGTCTAGTACTATATTTGCCCAAGACAAACGCTTCCTGACAGCTCTTTTGAAGTTTTATTGAATTTATTTTAGGTTTTTCGTGGGATGTTTTGTCTTTGAAAAAAAACAACAACTTGTATTCTTTCTCTCACAACACAAGACACCAGCAGTTATATTTGAGTCCCTTGACATTACTACTGTGCCTCCCTCCCTCCCCCCCATGCTGGTGTTGTTTTTAAACTCCCTGAAAGTCCGCGTTAACTCACAAGCTCATCAGCAAAAATGCTGTATAATTTGTTAATTTGTTACACAACCCTGTTCTTACTCCACATTACTAAACGCAATTCATATTGATAATGGGCTTACAATTATAACAGCTTTAGCAGCAAGCATTTAAACTACTGTCAATCTAGCACTGTATAACACAAGTACTATCAGTGGGTACGCATGATATTGACAGAGATGTACCATACATACATTTTTCGGCAGTTGTTAAGGTCAGCAAAGAAGTACACTATGTTGCCAAAAGTATTCACTCACCCATCCACATCAACAAATTCAGGTGTACCAATCACTTGCTACATACCGCTAAACTTCATGTGGCGTTCAGATGAGCTCAAGAACAGTGTGTCAAGAGCTTTATGGGATGGGTTTACATGGCTGAGCAGCTGCATCCAAGTCTTACATCACCAAACACAATGCAAAGCGTTGGAAGCACGCCGCCAGTGGACTCTAGAGAAGTGGAGATGTGCTCCTTAATTGATGAATCACACTTCTCCATCTGGCAATCTGACAGACGAGTCGGGGTTTGACAGTTGCCAGGGTAACGGTACATGTCTGACTGCATTGTGCCAAGTGTAAAGTTGTGTGGGGTTGTTTGCCAGTAGTTGGGCTCAGCCCCTTAGATCCAGTGAAAGAAACTCTAAATTCTTCAGCATACCAAGAACTTTTTGGACAATTTCATGCTCCCAACTTCTTGTGAACAGCAGTGCAGAAACCAAGGTCCATGAGGACATGGATGAGTGAGTTTGGTGTGGAGGAAGTTGACTAGCCTGCACAGAGTCCTGATCTCAACCTGATAGAACGCTTTTAGGATGAATTAGAGGAGACTGCAAGCCAGGCCTTATCAATGTCTGATCTCACAAGTCCACTTTTGGAAGAATTGTCAAAAATTCTTGTAAACACACAGCCTTTCTAGAAGAGCTGAAGCTCATAAGCTGCAACATGTGAGCTGACATCATATTAAACTCTGTGGATTAAGATAAGATAAGATAAGATAAGATAACCTTTATTAAGAATGGGATATCACTAAATTTCCTATGCATGTGAAGGCAGATGAGCGAATACTTTTGGCAATATAGTGTATGTATATTAGCGTTGTCAGTGATACTCATAAATATGGTCTATCTGTTATGGGCCTGGGGGTTTGGGTCTACTGCTTGTTGACTCCCACATATGCAGAGAGTCACAAGTGGTGTTAATAAGTCTTCCTTCTGTGGCATGAGAACTAAAATCTATCACAAGCTAAAGAGTTTCACAAACTGTGAGGGAGAGTAGAGAGAATTTATGGTTTCAGTCATGTGGGGATCATAAATATTCATTACGTGTGAATTTTGGGACTGCACAATGCTTGTTAGCAAAGACTCTTGATACTTAGCAAGTAAAACGAAATGTAATAAAAAGGCTGGTGGTTGAAGGGCTATTTTTTAAGAGCATTTAATGTTCGTGCAGGAGAATGATGTGAGACTGAGGTGCAATGTTGAAAGTCCACATTCACATACGCGCTATTACAATGGATTTGTAATAATGTAACTATGGTTTTCCAGCAGACTCGCAGACAAACAACAGACTTGCAATGCTTTAGTTAGTTTGTCCTGATGAGACGCAGTGTATGAACTCAGGATGTGGCACCAGAAAATTTACTGGAGCGCAAAAATGCAGAATTTTTAATACAAGATTTGACGTTTTACAAGAGGGCCTCGGTTAAATCTTTGCTGGATCACTGAGTGTAATGTGGTAAGTGAAGTAGATTAGCAGTTATAGATTGGTGTTGGCCCTATATTGATTGATAGGGCCTGGCTGCAGCTCTGATGTTGACTGATAATGTCTCAGCTCATGGCACAAAGGCTTGGAGGTAATACAGTGGACTTACTAACTATCTTGCTTCTTCATTCTTTTGTTTTCCTTCCTGCTTTATCTCCCATGCCCTCCTCCCCCCTCTTCTTTTCTTTTGCATTCTCTTTCTTTTGCTCCATCCAGCCCGAGGAACTGACTGATGTGTTAGAGATCAGCAACATCGTTTTCACCAGCATGTTTGTCCTGGAGATGGGTTTCATGCTGCTGGCTTTCGGCTTGTTTGGATACATCAGGAACCCATACAACATCTTTGACAGCATCATTGTTATCATCAGGTAGTATTTATCCGTGCTGTTTTGTCTCCACGTAGAGAAGAAAGTGCAGAGAGACCAAAGCAATCAGTAGCAGACAAGTAACAGTTGGAGGTATAGCGTGTGTCTAATTTCTCACCAACTTGAGGTTTCAGTTGTCAGGTTCAGTGCTGTAGCATCTCTTCTGTTGGTAAGATTGTCACAGTCATAAGGGAACACACGTCACTTGCTGCCTCAGCAGACTCCTTACTCTGTCAGTTGAGGTTTGCAGTGTGGCTCTCATTTAGCTTTGGGCCTTTCAAACTGTGATGTTCGGTTACTTTTGCTTTTGAAATAGAATTAGCTTTCTAATCACTACAGATAATCCTGTTACTACTGGTGAGCCACTTTAAAACACACATGTAATTACCTCTGCCAAGGATGTCGTGTTTTTGGTAGTGTGTGCATGCGTGTCATCATTGTGCCTGCAAACATGTTAGCTCAACAACTTTTAGATGAATTTCAATAAAACTTTGTAGGGTTGTAGAGTGGAATCATATTAACAGTCGATTCAAATTTGGCTTAAAACTTCAAAGTAAACATAATGATTTAGTGGTTGAAAATTGATATAATTCTTATAGATAAGGTATTTAGTTTAACATATAGAAAATAACATATTAGAATAAAATGAAATAAAATATGTCACATTTCACCTTTGACCTCTCCTTCAAGGTCAATAGATTGATTTGAATGTCAAAGTGATAATAACTAATAATAATAATAATAAATAAGTCTTATAGCTCTATTTATAGTTAATGATGTAACTATATATTATTAACTATATATGGAGATTCTAAATGTCTCATTATTTTATTATGAGTTTGTTATGTACATTACAGTAACAGGTTATAACTGTTTAAATACATGAGCAATGTTCCTGAATAAGTGTAAATGTATATATATTTTTGAAAAAATATATCATTTTTAAAGTAACTTTAAAAAGAACAAATAAAATACAATAAATATATAAAAAGATAATATATTTGGTTAAAAGTAAACACTCATGCTATGCGATACTGCAAATTTTGGTATTGATCCAATACAAAGTAAATACAGGGTCAGTAGTGCCAATACCTATACTGTTACCGATATTTTGAACTTATAAAGGCAGCTTTTGTAGGTGAGAGCAGTGTGTCATGATTTATGAGATGAATCATCAATTTGGGGAATAGACATAAACTATCAATCCTATGTTGTTAATATCGACCTGATATCAGTACCACCATTGGTATTGATACTATGGATATTTGGATCGATCTGGCCACCTTTAGTACTGCCTGGAAAGTGAGCAGCCTTGGTGGAGGTTTGTCCTCTTGTTTTGCTTTGTTTATGTGTTTTTTCACAAACAAATTTACTGAAGTTGTCCAGTATTTTAATACTTTGTTGTGGGTTGTTCTCAGTGTGTGGGAGATAATTGGCCAAGCAGACGGTGGGCTGTCAGTCCTGCGAACGTTTCGTCTGCTACGAGTTCTGAAGCTGGTTCGCTTCCTGCCCGCTCTGAGGAGACAACTCGTAGTGCTGATGAAGACAATGGACAATGTGGCCACCTTCTGCATGCTTCTCATGCTTTTCATCTTCACTTTTAGGTAGGGGCTAAACAGATTTAACATTTTTCCCACCTGTCTCTCTTCAGGCTACTTTCTAGTGATGGAATATTGATGAGTATTAATGCAAACATCCAAATGAATATGTCTGCATTTCCTTTTTCTCTGCAGTATACTGGGCATGCATCTTTTTGGGTGTAAATTTAGTTTTCGCACAGAGAATGGAGACACCATCCCTGACCGAAAGAACTTTGACAGTCTGCTCTGGGCCATTGTCACTGTGTTCCAGGTTAGTTTCTGACTTACACTGTGCAACACTATAAGTTTGAATTATCTATAAGTTGGCTTTTGCTTTCCTATTTTTATGTCACATTGTCCAAACTGTGCATGACGATAACAAAATACGAGCTTACCTGTATCTACAGCTATAATATACATATACTGTAGGCATCCATTATAATAACCTGTCCGCGCCGCCTCTGCTTCAGGGAAAAACAGAAAGAGACAGATATATAGGAATAACCACATGGCCTATATAAATTGCTTAGGGAGGGTTCTGATGAAATTACAGATAAGGTGGTGAACTGAAGCCTCCATCTTACAAAGAACTGAAATAAATAAAAATTACTGCACATGTCCTCACATGTTATTGGTGGCATGGAGTCTGACACACTATTCTAAATGTCTAAATCAAATGTCAAAGTCAGTCTAGTGTGTGTTCGCGCGCACGCGTGTGTGTGTATATATTGCATATTTCTGCCAAGCGTCTTCTCTTGGTCCAATGCTGTAGAAAATTCTTCCCCCAGAATCTCTCTTTCACTATCACTTCTATTTTTTGCTCTCCCTCCCTGTGGAGGTTGTTCAATCGCACATGGATTGTCCTCTTTTCTATACTGGATGCCTCAGCATAAGACTAGAACACATAATGCAGAGCACTGTCTCACTTTAGTGCTGAAGAAGCATTTTGCCCTGAACTGACTGTCATACGCTTGCAGTAGTTTTCTGGAGTAGCTACAGTACACACAAATGTATGCATGGCACATACAGTGGGGGGAATAATTCTTTGATCCCTTTGTAAGTTTACTCAGAAAGAAACGAACAAGCTCCAAAAATCCAGAAAATAAATTATGTAAAAAATTATAAATAAATTTTCCCCTCATTTAGTTAAATATATGTATTTGATCCCAAACCCAACCCACAGATTACAGTCAGTCAATTACAGATACTACTGACCTCAGCTCATCATGACTATAAAGCACACCTGTCCACAGAATCAGTTTCTGTTAGGTGTGGCTGTGTGCAGGCAGGAATAGGACCCAAGGTGCAGACTCCGGAGACGGACGTGAACTCAAAAAGGCTTTAATTAGGTACTCAAAAATATAACATAACTGAAAAAACTCAAAACAAACTTAAACTGGAGAAATGACAGAACACACAGCTAAGAAAACAGTAGATCGCAACACAGACACTAAGAAACACAGGGCTTAAATACACAGAGGGAGCAATCAGGGAATGGGTAACAGGAGGGAAACACAGCTGGGGCAAATCAGGCCTAACGAGACAAGGGGAAGCGAAACCAGACACATTAACATCAGACATGGACTTTCAAAGTAAAACAGGAAACATAACACAGACTCACAGGCAGGCACTATAACAAAGGGAACAGAGACGTGGGAACAGGGCAGACACAAACATTGACTGAACACGGGGATATAGGAACTTAGGATACACATAGACGCGGACTAGACAAGGGGATGCAGGTGATAAGGGAGACAGAGCAACTAAAGAAGACAGAGACATAAGCCATAAGACAGAACTCAAAGAAACCAAAAACTAGAAAGTATAAATAATATCATAAACTCAAAAACCCTGGGTCGACGACCCAGGCATCCTAACAGTACCCCCCCCCTTAAGGGCTGGCTTCCAGACAGCCCAAACCAAAACATCAAAATCAAAACAACAAAAACAACCCAACCAGGGTGGGCGGCGGGGGGAAACAGGATGGAGGGCTCGAAACAAACCAAACAAGGAGCCAGAAACAATAAAACAAAAAAAAAAAAGTGCAAACACTGGAGCCCGGAAAGCAACAGAACAAAACACAGAAACAAAGTCCAAAACAACAGCACCAAGGCCCAGGCAAAGTCCAAAAGCAAACAAACAAAAGAGCTCACGAAAGGCACAGAGGCCCAGGCAATAGTCTCAAAAAAGTTCAGGGGGCCGGCCCGGAGGCTGACGGCACAACAGTCCAAACCCGGGTAGGTCAGGGGGGCGGCCCGGAGGCTGATGGTCCAAGAGTCCAGAAAACAGGTCAGGAGGCCGGCCGGGCGGGAGGCACCGATGGCGACCGAGCAGGTCAGGAGGCCGGCCGGGCGGGAGGCACTGGTGGCGGAGTACTTCAGGGGGCCGTCCACGACGGCGGCGTAGTTCAGAGGGCTATCCATGACGGCAACGACGTCCAGTCATCGGCCGGACAGAACGTGTAGGACGAGCAGGCCGGACAGGACGTGCAGGCCGGTCGGGACGTGCAGGCCGGGCAGGACGTGCAGGAACAGACAGATTGGAGACCTCAGGAGCAGACAAAGCTGAACACTCGGAGACTGGACCAGGCGGAGCTGCAGAGGCCGAAGCCGGACCAGGCGGAGCTGCAGAGGCTGAGGCCGGACCAGGCGGAGCTGCAGAGGCTGAGGCTGAATCCGGACCAGGCGTAGCACAGGCTGAGGCTGAATCCGGACCAGGCGTAGCACAGGCTGAGGCTGAAGCCGGACCAGGCGAAGCTGCAGAGGCTGAGGCCAGACCAGGCGAAGCTGCAGAGGCTGAGGCCGGACCAGGCGGTGGAGCCGGTGGTGGCTGAACGGCCCCCTCGGACCCTCCAGCGGAGACAGGTGGCTGAACGGGCCCCTCGGACCCCCCAGCGAAGACAGGTGGCTGAACGGGCCCCTCGGACCCCCCAGCAAAGACAGGTGGCTGAAAGGGCCCCTCGGACCCTCCAGCAGGAAGAGGAGGCTGAAGCAGTTCCTCGGACCCTCCAGCGGAGACAGGAGACTGAGCAAACAACTGAGGCGGTAACTGAGCAGGTGACTGAGCCGATAGGTGAGCTAATGTCTGAGCTATGGAGAGAAGTTTAAGTTGTATTGACTGTTGTAACGATGGCAGTAATGGCGGGTGAGGTGGTGGATTAGCAGATGGTTGGACTAGGTTGTCTGAGCCTACGGATCCTACAGAAAACTGCTGGACGGGCTCACCTGAGCCTCCAGCGAGGACAGAAACAGGTGCAAGTACCTGCCGGACACCAGCCACTCCCACCCGAGGAGAAGGTACGGGTGCAGGAGCTAACTGGTTCCCGGTCATCCTCACCCTGGGAGCCGGGACAAGCACAGTCAACGGCTGGGCAGCTGCAGTCCCCACCCGAGGAGCTGGTACGGGTGCAGCGACAGGCAGAGGCTCAGCCAGCCTAGACACCTGAGCAGGGACCAGCTGGACCTCAGCCTCCCTCACCTGAAGCACTGAAACAGGTGCAGGGGAATGCTGGGCCTGAGCTGCCCTGGGAGCAGGAACACAATGGTGCAAAGGAGCAGGCTCAGCAAACACAGACTCTTCTAAAACGTTTTTTAACTTCCTACCACCACCACGTCTAACAGTCTTAATAGTCTCAGTCTTAGCAGTGTTCATATGATTGTTAGTTTCCAGCTCCGAGGAACGACAGCAATCACAACTCACCACCGGGAGTTGCTCCGCAGAAAAAGAGTGGTGACGGTGTGAGCGTCGCCTCCTCCGGGAAGTGGGAGGTGGCGAACTGGGCTGCGAATCCTCCAAAGGACCGGGCTGCGATGAGGAAGCAGAGAGTTTGTGAAGCTCAGAACGTGGCAGACCCAAAAAACAGAGCGAAGGACTGCAGCGGAGTGAGTCTACCGTCCGGCGTCACATAATCTTTCTTCCTCCGCCGCTTAACTCTCTTGTCGGACTGGTATTCCAGGGGTGAAGGCGGAGGTGTAGCAACTGGAGAGAAGGAGCACGTGTTCAACCTGATCGCCCGAGGCATAGACGCTGGCTCGGCCGTAGCCATTTGGAGGCTGCGGGGCCCTCCCAAAGCCAAACGTGACCCATAGAAGGGTGACTGGAGCTCCTGGGCATGCTCAGCTTCCTCCCTCACGATCTCCTTGAGGAAGGCAGAAACTGCGGGTCGCTGATACCACACAGAGTCTGCTGGGTCCATGTTCTGGTCACGATCTTCTGTTAGGTGTGGCTGTGTGCAGGCAGGAATAGGACCCAAGGTGCAGACTCCGGAGACAGACGTGAACTCAAAAAAGGCTTTAATTTAATACTCAAAATATAACAAAACTGAAAAAAACTCAAAACAAACTTAAACTAGAGAAATGACAGAACACACAGCTAAGAAAACGGTAGATCTTCCATCACAACCTCATCACCACCAGAGGCACAGCCACACAGTTGTTAGAGGACATCAGGAATAAGACTGCAGACCAGCACAAGGCTGGAATGAGCTACAAGACCATTAGCAAAAAGGTGATGAGAAGGTGACAACCGTTGGTGCCATTATTCAGAAGTGGCGGAATTATAAAATGACCATCAATCATCCTCATGATCATGAGAAAGGTGGTAGACATCCCAAATGATCTGAAGGCAGTTGGGACCACGGTCACCAAGAGCACCTTTGGTAACACACTACAGTAGTGGATTGAAGTCTTGCAGTGCCCACAAGGATCCCCTCCTCAAGAAGACACATGTACAGGCCCGTCTTAAGGCGGCTAGTAAAACAAATGATTCAGAGAAAGCTTGGGAGAAAGTGCTGTGCTCAAATGACACCAAGGGTCTTTGGCATCAACTTGACCCGCCATGTTTGGAGGAAGAGAAATACTGAGTATGACCCAGAAAACACCATCCCTACAGTTAAGCACAGAGGTGGGAACATTGTGCTTTGTGGCTGTTTTTCTGCTAAGGGTGCAGGATGACTTTACTCCATTAAGCCAATGGACGGGTCTGTGTACTGTCCTAAAGCATACAGCACCACCAAGGCAAGAAACAAGTGGCTAAAGAAGAAGTGCATTAGGGTCATGAAGTGGTCCAGCCAGTTTCCAGACCTCAGTCCTATAAAAAAAAATCTGTGGAGGGAGCTGAAGCTTTGAACTGCCAATCAATTTATAACTTTTATGTTTTATGTGTACATATTTATGTATACACACACACATACATACAAGCACAGTGAAGTAGGAGGGCAGAGATGGAGCTTGCAGACATGCAAACACATGTAGACTCACAAACTTCCCATGTTAACCTATAGACAAACAGTATATGAAAATGAAGTATTTCGCCAGTAAAAGCAGCCGAGCATTTCATGTCTTCATGTTAATTTCTGCCAATATCTAAGGCTTGAACTTCTTATCCCCACTTTTAGTTTCATATCTCTAAACCTCACATCTTCCCTGTCCTGAATTTCTCCTTCTCCTTTCTTGTTAATGTGTGTGTAAATCTCTGTGTGTGCCATTCATTTCATAGATTCTTACCCAGGAGGACTGGAATGTGGTGTTGTATAACGGCATGGCTTCTACCTCTCCATGGGCGGCTCTCTACTTCGTTGCTCTTATGACATTTGGCAACTATGTGCTCTTCAATTTACTAGTGGCCATCTTGGTTGAAGGCTTCCAGGCTGAGGTGAGAAGAACTCGGACTCGTTGGTTTCTACATACAATAAAGGGTTCAGTATTTTTGGATTGTACTGGTTTATGAGCGGTCACCATTTTCCAGTATGCTACTTGTAGGCTTGTTTTACATTTTCAAAGCTGGTAATAAGGCACTCATATTGGTGCACATAATGTTCATAAAAGACAAAAGTCCTTTTCATTCCCTGCAAATTTCCTGTAGTTTAGCATAGTAAAGCCTTTGAAGAACATAAAAAGGAAGGGGAATTTCCCAGTCACTATCAGTCCTTTATCATTCAACCATGTGTACCCAGTGTATCTTTGGAGCGATTTAATTTGCTCATGGTCTGGGTGTTGATTGAAAAAAAATTTCCCCGTGATGTTAAAGTCAAAACAAAATGGGAAGCCAATACAGAAATATCATTGTTGTCATGTATGCATGTGTTACAGGGTGACGCTAATCGGTCAGAGTCAGATGATGACAAGAAATCAGACAACTTTGATGAGGACGAGAAGATAGAACAGTTCAGAGACACAGGTAGTGGTGTTTTCATGATATTCCTTTTCTGCTTTTACAGCTGATTGATCAGTAAAAACTGTAGTGAAAGCGGCAGGAGAAATAAAGCAATATGAAGCATTATAATATGCTGTATAACTCTCCTCCACAGAGCTAAAGCTCTCACTGATGATGACAGGTAATGGTCACATTGACCCTCGTGGCTCTATGGCTCCTCCCATAATCATGCGCACAGCAGCCACACCCATGCCTACACCTAAGAGCTCTCTTGGACCTGAGTCCATCCTCGGGGATGAGCTCATGTACATAGACGGAGCACCTCAATATAGTGAGGTAGGACTGGGTTTTCCTGAGGCAGGGGTCGGTCACCCAGAGTCCCGACGGGGAAGCTCAACATCAGTGGAGCCATACGATCCGCCTTCTCTGGTAAGTTATATGAAAGTCTTCATGTAAATACCATGTACAGTACAATATCTTCAGTTAATCATGAGTTAATTATTCCTGGTGGACTCACTGAAGATTCAGTAGATGTTATGAGGCTTGTTCTTTTATTTGAAAATCCATTTTCCTTATTGCTGATTCAAAATAAAAAAACTCACATCAACAATTTTTTTAAAAAGGGTAGAAGATATGAGACCAGCTTCATATGTGCATACCCAGTGGTTTCAAATGGAGTACCAAATATGGCCTAAAGAGCTAGTGAGCCCAGTGAGGTAACACTAGAACTAATCACAAGCTTCAAATGTTTCATTTCACAGAAACCAATCAGATCCACTTATGTCATATTTGTGACATTTAGCAACACCAGTTCTGTGAATTCTAATCTGAGTGAGAGAATAGCTATGATTTAGTCAGGCTTTAGGGATGCTTGACTTAGCTGAATTGATTTAACATTAATATATCATTTTCACTGGCGTATACACATATGCAGAAGGGAGCGGTGGTTTGGGAAGGTAGTCTCTGAAGGGGGCATGCTCACTTAACCACATTTACAGCTGCAAGTCACGTAATTAGGAGGTCAGTGTGACACAAGGAGAGCGAGTATTCCAAAACTGGAAAATAATTTGGACACAGAGAGCCAATCATAGTCTTGTGTTACATGAGCGGGAACAAAAAACTGTTTGTAACTAAAGCATTTGGTCAAGTCTCAATTTTATGTCTATGAAATGTAGTTCACAGCTTGCTAATTTAACAACATTGAGAGAGATTGTGGGAAAAGCAGTATTCAATATGATAATTACTGTCTCAACGGTTGAGAACCATAATGAAAATTAAGCTAATAAAAGCCCTTGTTTGAGAGACTCATCAGAAATTTTACTGTGGAAGAGTGGGAAAAAGTATGAGAACATATGAAACGTTGTCAAATTTGAAATGATGCTACTCTCAGCAGATGATGAAAAGTTTTAACTGTTAGCCTCTTAAAAGCTGCTGTAACCGACATTCATTTTCACAACCACACATTACGCTCGCCCCTATTTTCTGTCTCTTCAGAGCCTCTCTAGTCCCGGGCGGCGTTCTCCTCTTCCTCCCCGTGGCGCTGGAAGCTCATGGGGAAGTCGACGCTCCAGCTGGAACAGCCTGGGAAGGGCACCGAGCCTCAAAAGGCGAGACACCAGCGGAGAGCGGGAGAGCTTGTTGTCTGGGGAAGGTGGAGAGGATGAGGATGCCAGGGATGGCAAAGTGGAGGCAGGGGGAAACAACAGACTAAAGCCGGGGTCCTTGGAACTGCTGCAGGCGTCTACTCTCTGCCCTTCTGTGGTAGCAGACTATGGTGACTGCAATGGGAGGACCGTGACCTACAACCCGAACGTGAACTCCGACCCCAAAGAAGACTCCTCCCCAGAGGACGATTTGGACGATGATGTAAGTGGCATTTGGTTGTTTCGTTTACTCTGCGGCTCGTTTTTACAATTAAATACAGATGCTCGTGGATGGATTTTGAAATGTTATGTAAATTCCTAATCTGTGCTCTCTGTGACTCTGTTTACACACTTTATTTCATTTTCTTCTCTCCTCTTGCAGTTCTCCCCTTCTGCCCTTTGCGTTCGCTTACTTTTGTATATAAATTAGAGTGTGCATTTTGTGTTCACACTGCAAAGCCTGGAGGGACACTAATTGTCATGCCTTAATTGATTAGTTTAGGCACTAATTGTTTTCTCAGTGGGTACAAAACAACTTGAGTACATGCAATCAGCACACTTATATATTTGTGCGTGGAAAACCTGGAGAGGCCCCCTTCCACTTCCCCCTCCTTGGTGGTTTTGGATGACCTCTTACGCGACAGTGTTCATGGGTTTATTGGCTCCAAATTGAGTTCATAATGCCATGAAATCCGCAGAAACAAAAGCCCTCTCCCCCGGCGAAGTGGATAAGTGAGGCTTAATACAGACAGTGTATTGATACATGGGTGTGTGTTTCAATGCACACTTGGAAGGGTATACACTGCGTGTGTGCACACGTTGTGCCAACTGAGGTGTGCACATACACGTTCTTCTCTGTGAGTGTCTATCTCAGATTATGGGCTTCGACTCCAAGGAGAGCTGAGCGGTTGGTTCTTGTCACAGGCGCACACACGCAGGATACGCCCAGATGCACACGTGCTCACATAATGGGCAGCCTGCCAAATAAGCAGTTTCTGAGAGGCCTAACTTTGGGTTGTTTTTAATTAGAATCCTGAAGTGCAGAAGCTGCGCACCTAAGCTTTCTTCTGTTTGTTTTATTACAAACTTTAATGAGTTTCAAAACACTTTCTATTGAGCTTGTGGCCTAGCTAAGTTGGAGGTCCGCCTGTTATAGTCCCAATTATCTCCCTTTACCTATGCAATGAAACACGTGTTTACTATGCCCCCATAGATTTAAGTGCAGAACGGCTAACATCAGCAACACCGTGGAAACTCGGCTTAAAGCCGTGCATTGCTTCTCTCTAATAGGATCTGCAGTGTAATTGTTGACGGGTTGTGCACATTAGAGTCATCATAATACAATTTTACTTTTAACTGATAAACATAATATATAGTTTTGGCAATGACATTTAGCAGCATTCAGTTATATAAAAAGCTCTTGGGCTTACGCAGTTTCTCCACCTTCAAGGATTTTTTTGCATGATTTAATGTTCTAGCTGATCTTCAGTCGGGGTTTAAGGAGTGCACGCAGAACAAAAAGTAATAACATTTTTATTGCTCGGATTCTACAGATTGCATGCATAGTTTGTGGAGCAGCTGTCTATTTTTGGAGAGGAGCGCATCGTCCTTTTAGTAGCCTTGCTTCTAATCTACAACAATCTCAGCATTAATTAAATATTTATCAGTTGCGTTAGCTTCGATGTGTATATTAATATGTGTAAAAATGTGAAAAAGTATATCTGCCAGAATACTGAACCTTTAGATTTGCAAGACAAACCATTTGGAGTTTTTCACTGGGTGAGATTTGACGCACTTAGCTTTGACTGTAGCAGACATGACGGTAACAACAGTAATAAACATTTCACCAAATGCAAAGGTGACACCTATAGTTGGTTCGGAGATATTGACAGAGAAAGTAGTTTTGTTGTTGGTGTTAATGATGTTGATGTGCAACCATCGTTTTCTGCAGGCTTCTTTTTGCTACTGGACCAGGAAGGAGTTCCATAACATGAAGCCCCGATGGTGCAAAGAGCATGAAGACTGGACGCTGTACCTGTTTTCTCCAGAGAATCCGTAAGACAGACACACACACACACACACACACACACACACACACACACACACAGTAGTCTTTTCATCCTTGCATTCATATCTTGGAGATTTACCCTAATCCTGTAGGATCACAGTTACTACACTTACACTAATCCTAACCCGAACCTAACCCCAAACTATTTATACTAAGACACAATGATTTACATTTTCAGCATTAGCTTGTGTCACCAAAGTGTGATTGCACTGGCAGATTTATGTCCCACCAGCATGAGTTTCACACACACACACGGATCCATACGAAGAATTCAGTCCGTTCTGTTGTCACCCTCTGCCATCCATTTTTCTGCTTACTCACTGGCCTATTCCTCTCTGGTTCTTCTTTTTTTAATTTAACTATTTCTGTCTCTTGTATTTTTTACTGAATTCTCACTATTATTTATTTGATTATCAGTTTTAATAAATGATGGATATTTTATTGTTTTATCAGAGTTGCGTGTATGTTTGTCTGTGTTTTTTTTATTTTTTTAATTTACTGTTTTTGGGGGTTTTTTTAGGTTCCGTATGTGGTGCCAGAAAGTGATCTCTCACAGACTGTTTGACCACATAGTTCTAGTTTTCATCTTTCTCAACTGCATCACCATTGCTCTGGAAAGACCTGATATAAAAAATGACAGCACGGTAAGACACACACGCACAGCCAATACACACCAGGACTGTTTTATTTAGTTTCTATCTCTTATAACTGATCCTTAATTAAGTAAGAGAAACAGGCAAAATTTCCTCTGTTATATGTGATGCTTTGATGCTTTTTATCCCTTCCATTGTTACCTGTAGTAACAAAGGTTTCTTGCTTGGGCTTCACATACACTCAGCTTGTGCTTTAGTCTGGGTACTGGGGTCTTTCACTACATTCACATAGTAAAAAAGAAAGTACACGCTTTTTAAATTCTAAGGTTTTAGATATCTGCAAATAATGTGGTCCTTAACAGTTCTTAAAATTAGGCAAATACAACCTCAGATATGAGGTTGTCCATTAACAGTTAACACATTACATTAACAATGTCTTAGACTCTGCAAGCCTCAGTTAACATTTCAAATGTTAAAGTTAATGAAGGTAGAGTTAGAAAAAAGCCAAAGAAGCGTGTCTTGTTTGGAAGGGTTGCCTGGAGAAAGGCTCTTTTCTCTAAAAAGAACATGGCAGCATGGTTTAGGTTTGCAAAGCTCCATCTGAACAAACCACAAGAATCCTGGAACAATGTCTCTTGGACAGATAAGACCAAAGTGGAGCTGTATGGCCATTATGCACAGTGCCACGTTTGGTGAAAACCAAACAGAACATATCAGCAAAAACACTCCATAGCGACTGTCAAGCACGGTGTTGGGGTGGTGACTTGTGCTTCTTTTGCTGCCACGAGACCTGGCCACCTTGAAGCCATTGAGTCAAAGATGAACTCTGTATACCAAAGTATTCTAGAATCATCTATCCTGCAGCTAAAGCATAGTCCAAATTGCTTAATGGAAAAAAATCTACAACAGAAAGGCTGAAAAAGAAAAGAATCAAGGTGCTACAATAATGTATTTGTTTTCAACTTTGTCAGCTTTGCCTTCATTTTCTATTTTCCAAAGTAAATTAGTAAAAGCAAAGAATTACAAAACATTTATTCACAATATACCATATTATGTGCTTTTTGGTGCTTGATTGATGATTATTTGCAGAAAGCTTAGAAAAAAATTGTCACTAACCGCTGTGTGAGGCAAGGAAGGATAAGACCCGAATGCAGGGCTCTCAGGCAGAACGTGAACTCAAAAACAGCTTTATTGCCAGATTCACAAAAAAACATTAGCTAAACTGGGAAGGAGCTAGAAACTAAAATAAACAGACAGCACACAGCATCGAGGGATGGCAACAGACAGAAGGAGATACAGACAATATTTCAAGAGGGTGTCAGGGCAGGAAACACCTGGGGAACACAGCTGAACATAGTCTGACTGAAGAGGCAGGGGAGCCACATTACATTACACATACAGGACAGATGACCATGAGAATAAAACAGGAAAAAGACGGACCAGACACAGGAAGACAGGGAACACAAACACTGAGGCGAGACTGACAAAAAACAGGGAGCGAGGGACAGAGACTTGAGCTTTATAACCAGACGTGACCACACACAGGGGACGCAGGGGAGGACCCACCAAGAGACTAATACCGACTGGACACAGAAGGGAACAAAATCAAACAAGAACTATGAACTACAAACATAACAAAACCGAACATTAGCATATCAATAGTTGGGTTGAAGACCCAGGGCCATGATAAAAATCATTTTATTAAAGTGTACAAGAGCTGAAAGAATAAAACCCCAGAGTTTAAAACCTTTAAAAAGACACATTTTAGACTGATGCTAGATACTCTGTACTCTGTAGTGTGATGTGGCGTGTGCTACATGGTATGTGGGCTGAAATATAATATCACTCTCTTCTTTAGGAGCGACATTTCCTGAGTGTGTCCAACTATATTTTCACTGTGATCTTCCTAGCAGAGATGGCCATTAAGGTAAGAATCATTTCCTTTTCTTTCTTCTGTAGATGAACCTTTTTCTATTTTCTACTGGATCTAGATTATTGTGATTACTGCCTTGTGTACAGCTTAATTTGTATTTTAATAATTCCCAGGTTGTAGCTCTTGGTTTCTGCTTTGGGCAGCAGAGCTACCTCCAGTCCAGTTGGAACATTCTGGATGGTGTATTGGTGTTTGTGTCTCTGATCGACATTTTGGTTTATCTGGCCTATCATGGTGAAAACAAGATCCTGGGAATTCTGAGAGTACTTCGCCTGCTACGAACACTTCGCCCACTGAGGTACATGTTGGATTTTCTTTTGTATGTGGATACTGTCTTCTCACCTTTTGGAGGGTTATAGTGTAGTGGTTTGCATATTTGCCTAAAGTACAAAAGATCCATATGTTGATCCCAGGAAGACACACAAGGAATCTAGAGTAAATATCTGCTGAATCATGTGCAAATTTGCAGTGCTACTTTATATCGTCAAAAGTATTTGCTCGCCTGCCTTCACACATATACACTTCACTGACATCATATTATTAATCCATAGGCTTTAATATGATGTCAGCCCACTCTTTGTTCTGGGAAGACTTTCCACAGGGTTTAGGAATGTTTGTGGGAATTTTTGACCATTCTTACAGAAGTGTATTTTTGTGCACTGGTTTGCAGTTATATTGGAACAGGAAGGGGCCAATCCCAAATTGTTCCCACAAAGCTGGGAGCATGGAATTGGCCAAAATGTCTTGGTAAGCTGAAACATTAAGAGTTCCTTTCACTGGAACTAAGAGGCAGAGTCAAACTCCTGAAATACAACCGCACACTTGGCACAGTGCAGTCAGACAAGTACCGTTCCCTGAGCAAACGCCAAACCCATACATTCGTCACTCTAGAGAACCCATCTCTAGTGCTCTAGAGTCCTATGGTCCTATGCTTTACAAACACTGCATCCGATGCTTTACATTGCACTCGGTGATGTATGGCTTGGTTACAGCTGCTCGCCATGGAAATCCATGGATAAAGCTCTCTTAACACTGTTGAGCTAATCTGAAACCACATGAAGTTGGGAAAGTTGGGAATCTCAGTGCACGATGCGACTCAGTATTTGCTAACCCTGCTCTGTGAGCCTACTACTACCGCTCTGCAGCTGAGTTGATGTCGTTCCCTGTAAATCCCACTAACACCTGACTGTGGAATATTTCGTAGTGAGGAAATTTCGCGACGGGATTTGTTCCACAGAGGTGACATCCTATCACGGTATCACGCCGGGACTCATTGAGCTCCTGAGAGCGACCCATTCTTTAACAAATGTTTGTAGAAGCAGTCTGCGTGCTTGTGTGCTTGATTAAATACACCTGTGGCCATAGAAGTGATTGAAACACCTGAATTCGATGATTTGGATGGGTGAATGAATACTTTTGTCAGTGTGGTGATGGAAGGGATCCCTTAGGAATAAGGGGAAATTTGAAAGTAGCTTTTATATATTGATGCACATGTGCTGGATACTTTTTTGTTGCTCTACCTTGTTTGGGTTCTAGTTTTTTAATGTGCTGCATTTATTGGTACTTGTGTTAAACATGTTTTGGTTTGCGTGTTCCAGGGTGATCAGTCGAGCCCCAGGATTAAAGCTTGTTGTGGAGACTCTCATCACCTCTCTTAGACCTATTGGGAACATTGTTTTGATATGCTGCGCCTTCTTCATTATCTTTGGAATCTTGGGGGTCCAGGTAATCACTGTTCCACAACACAGAGATGCCTTACACCTTTTGTTGCTTAAATGTCACTCAGTATCCAATCAACAATTAGCTTTTTGTTTGAGCATTTTTGAAAGAATGACAGTTAGGTGAAGTGTGAAAAGAAACAAGATGACCTGGTATTACCCAAGGACTGAGGGAAACGTATGATAATAATATGTTCTACAAAACTTCCCTTTATTTCTTTATTTCTGGCTTTATAAGCTACAAACTCTGGTACATAACATGTAAATGGCTACCAAAATAGCCCCGCAGATAACTCTCTCTATGTTTTTCTGTTTCACTCTAGCTGTTCAAAGGGAAGTTCTACCACTGTGAAGGTCTGGACACAAGAAACATCACCAACAAATCAGACTGTCTGCAGGCTAACTACCGCTGGATACGAAAAAAGTACAACTTTGACAACCTGATTCAGGTAACAAACAATAGATTGAGGGTGAGATTTGGCAAAAAAGATGGGGCATGAGTGTGGAATCAGCACTGCACAATCTCACTGTGAGCTGTTTTAACTAACTTTACAGTACTGTACAAAAGTCTTGAGCTATCCCTCATTTTTTAATATTTTGTTTCCAAGGAGCAAGGATGAGTTTTTAATGAGGTTTTGAGAAACAGTTCTCCAGGCTTTCTGCAGAGCTTTCAGAGTTTTTCTTTGGACACTGCCTTATTTTCAGTCCAATCCTTTTAATTTTTGGTATCCAGTTGTTCCATAATTTTTTAATTGTTTTTGATAAATCACCCCTGGGGCGCCTCTGTCAGTGTGCCCCAGGGTGGCTGTGGCTACAATGTAGCTTGCCATCACCAGTGTGTGAATGTGTGCGTGAATGGGTGGATGACTGGATATGTAAAGCGCTTTGGGGTCCTTAGGGACTAGTAAAGCGCTATATAAATACAGGCCATTTACAGGCCATTACCTTGCTGCATCTTCAGCAAATAATTACTTAAAAATGTCCCAACTTCTATGACATATTTCATGGTATTAATATATTATGTTATTATTATATGCAGAACAGCACAAAATCACCTAAGGCTTTTAAGCTTCTAGTAATGATGGAGAAATAGAGTTACAAGTCAGCATAACAAACTGATCACATGTGTAATGACTTCCTGTATTGTTTGTGTTTAATATCCAGGCTCTGATGTCTTTGTTTGTGCTGTCGTGTAAGGATGGCTGGGTTACCATCATGTATGATGGGCTGGATGCAGTAGGAGTGGACCAACAGGTAATGGTGTGAGAAATTGCTAAGCTGTAAAATTGCCTTGTGTCAGGTACACAAAAAATATCTTTGTAGTGTTAATCTACATCCACCCTCGAAGTGATTACTTATTCGTGGATCGTTTGAAGGTGACAGTAAGTCGTAGGCGGACGTTCCATGATCCAGTTCGCCCAGGAAATCCTCATTGGTAGTCCCTTCAGTTGCTCACTTCGAAGTTTAGAAGTTTATCTGAGATCCCAACCACTTCATGTTGCCAAATGTCACGTTCTCTAGTCTGTGGTTGTGACATCACTGCATATCGCGTCAAATGTGCACACAGCTTTAAGTGACAAAGAGAAAACAGTTTAAAAGGTGGAGCTTTTCCTGAACATTTTCTAGGGATTTGACCTGCTTCTGAATGTTGTAAGTGATAAGATACTGACAGTTTGGGTGCTGGTATCTCTTCTACTTGCACAAGATGATCAGAAGAGCTAAAAGTCCTGTTCTTTTTTGTTTTCAGTAAGAAATATGCATAAAAAACTGAAAAAGCAAATATTCTCTGCTGTCTTCTGCTTTCCTCAGCCTAAAAGAAACAACAATCCTTGGATGCTCCTCTACTTTATCTCCTTCCTGCTCATCGTCAGCTTCTTCGTCCTTAATATGTTTGTTGGGGTTGTGGTGGAGAATTTCCACAAGTGCCGACAGGACCAGGAAGAGGAGGAGGCGCGCTTACGGGAAGAGAAGAGGCTCAAAATGAAAGAGAAAAAGCGCAGGAGTAAGGAGAATGAAGGGGCTGGTCGGTAGTCTATTTTTCTGAGCACTGCCTGCTTTCAGAGCCTGAAAAAAAGAGAACGGGAATGAGAAAAAGAAACAAACAGGGATACATGTATATATGACAGACTGAAACATTAAAAGAGGGAGAATTTAAAAGACTGGCTAGCTCACGCAAACAGTGATCGATCACTGACAGGGGGCGTGGACTACATCAGTCTGATGCATGCAAATGCATGACTGCAGCCCTACTCTTACCCTTTTTCTAACACTGCATGAAAAACTTGAGCAGTTGTTTTAACCTAAAACTTTGTATGCTCACCCTTTAATTAATGGAACTGCCACCAGTTTAGTGTAAAAGTATTAACAGTACTTAATCTATTTTAAATACGTCTCAGATACCAAATTTAAATACAACAAAACCTGTAATAAGCTAACTTTTGTTTTTGGTTTCATTACTTTTAAAAAGCACCTTTATAACACTTGCTGCATGTGAAAGTAATTAACGGCTGCATTTCTCCAGATGTCTTTCGAAATTTTGCTAGCAAAATTTGAATTGGTGAAATGCCAGTAAACCCCTCCCTCCTTGCGAATGCATGTGCAACACTGACCATGAAATGGTTCTTGTCATGGATAGAAGAAGAAGGATATTTCCTGTAAACACGCTTTGACTGGCAGACTCAGAAACATAGCAGACACTTTGGCTGCTATACCTGTAAACACCTTGGGTAGCTGCGCTGTTAGCATATGTTAAGTTACGTAGATAAAAGTTGTTTGTTGCACCTTATAGCTAATGCAAGGACATGCTGGTAGAAACATCAGAAACACACCACCCACTGCAATCATGATTCAAAGTACTGTACAGTCACAATACAGAAGAGTATTTCATTTAGGGACTTGATTGTGAATGAGAGAAATTTGTAGAAGTATTTTGTCTTATATTCATTTACGTAATCGCAGAGTTACATTTTAAGGCAGTATATGGTGTGAGCAGAACACAGCTATTTCATGTTCTAATGGCACCATGTCTCACTGGTCTAAAACTGCTCTTGATAAATGTAATATAAGCTACTTGAATGTCTCAGAGGAATGAGCCTGTTCATAGGGATTTGGGCATATGATCAATCAAAACTCACTGATCAATCAAAAAACGAATGTAGTTTTAGACTACTGAGATTTTTTTTCCTGCAAGTATTTTAGAGAAAAGTGGCTCCAGTGTTTGTTCAACAGCACCCCCTAATTCTCAAACTAAAATCTTAAGGAATTTGACAGCAATATTAACTGATTAATTTGAAATTATTGAGCTCAATTTAAAGCGTTTAGATTATCGCTAAAGCAGTACAAGCTGAACGATCTCATTTGTTAAAGGATGGTGTTGTTGAACATACCCTGCACAGCCCCTCTAAATCCTAGTTTTAAAAAGAATGGCATGAAAGCATGCAGTCGATGCATAGGGCAGGGCATGGTATACGTGAGAGTATGTCAAAGACATTCACATACACGTTCGATAATTACAGTGGACATGTGAGTATGCAGTCTAGTTTGATAACAAGCACATATAAATAGCCAGGGTCTCATTTGTAAAACACTTGTTGTATGTTGGCACCGTAACAAAAATGTATAAATGCACACAAAAGCAAAAAATGCCATCCACCAAGATATCAATTTGGATTGGCTTCTTCTGTTCATACACAATGTAGTCCTAACCTATGTAAGCATCTGTGATCCTTGACTGGGTAGTGCTATCTCAAACAGCAGCAAGTTTCACACTTACAGAAATGAGAAAGTTTAATTAGCGTCAACATTCTGACTATTAACCTAATATTAAATATGTAAACATGGCATTAACATGCATAACCATAAAACATTTGAAACAGCTAGTTAGCATTGGTAATGGTATTTTCAGTGCCACTGGACTTCCTTAATCTGGCTAAAAATTGGCTTATGTTTCCTCCTCCTCTAATGTCACTCTAACTTTTGATTCTTAAGAGTGCAACATGCACGGCACTTGCTTATCATTACGTATGCACAATTGAGGTCAGAGGTTTACATCCACTTATCGTAGGCATGAATTTCATGGTAATTTTGGGCTTTCAATGATTTCTTTGAACTGTTCTTTTTCCAGGGTCGAATCATTGTACAGCACACATCTTTGACCACTTAAACAAACAAGAATTAGGTGCACAAATATATTCATACATCCCCACTAATATTTGGTGTCTCTAAGCAATTTGTGCTTCGACCAGATGCTTTTGGTCACCGTCAACAACCTTCTGGCATAATGCTGGCAGGATATTTAACAACTTGTCTTGGCAGAGTTGGTAGAGTTTATTTTTATTGATTGGTGTCATGGCGCGGACTCAACTTTTAACACATGTACAATAGGGTTAAGGGCGGGGCTTTGGGAAAACCATCCCAATAGCCTAATGTTAGCTTGTGTTATCCATTTCAATACTAGCTTTGATGGATGTTTGAGATCATTGTCCTTTTGGAACACCCAATTATATCCAAGTTTCAACCATCTAGCTGTTGATTTGAGGTGAATTTGAAGAATTTAGAGATAGTCTGTAATTTCTTCCATCTTCAAAGCATGATGATACCTCCGCCATGCTTGACAGCTGGTACAGTGTTCTTAGGTTTGAAAGCCTCATCTTTACTCCTCCTAACACACTTCCTGTCATTTTGGCCAAATAGCTCAATTTATGTCTCCTGACCATAAAACTTTTCACTTGGTCTAAACCCTGTCAGTCCATTGTGATGTAAAATGAATTTCACTGTGGACACTGATGCTGGTGTTCCAGCAGTTTCCAGTTCACTGCAGGCTTCAGTCTTAGTGGTTCCCTGGGTTATTCCTCAACATCTTAACCGATTTCCTCTCATCTGAGGGTCAGAATTTGGATCTTCTTCCGGATCTTGGCAAATTGGTGACATATTCAAGTAACTTGTACTTAAGTGCAGTTGTTTAAAGGGATAGTTCTCTGCAGAAATCTATGGTTATTTAGGAAAAAGAAAGCCACAACTTGTGTACATCTAGAATTCTATTTCTTAGATCTTCTCTGAGTTCTGTGGACTTTCAAATTGTTTCGAGTATTGGTCAATCCAATCAGTTCTGTCAAACAAAGAGAACTAACAGTTGTAGTCAATCACAATCACTAACAAGAAGCTGAAAGGCCTTGGTGTTTGTAGAGCCTTCAGCACCTTTATTAAAAGATTTAAGTGAGTGAATGTGTATATTTGAGCTTTTATGTAAACTTTTGTGGATTATAGAAAATCAAAAATAAATTCAGTGATGTGTGTCTAATTTTCGTTTTTTTTTTTAAAGATGTATGCGGTACAGTTATTCCACCCTGGAAAAGGACAGTTCAGGTTTCACGAAAATCCATAAATCCCCATGATGTTCGTGTGGATGTAAATTTTTAAGTAGAACTGTACGTGTGCAAATTTACGTACAAAAGTATTTTGAGTAATAATACTAAATATGTGATCCCTTTAAAAATGAATACATGCCATAAATATCTTAGACTTCGTGTTACTCTCATGTCCTCACTTATTTAAACAAGCCACACAAGCAGTAGCATGCACATGCTGTTTAAGGAACAGGGACAAGGGGAGCACCACCGCTGTGAGTAAGTTTACAATTAGAGGATCAGTGGGTCGCCTGGTCTGCTCAAGGGCCTCTCTGGTGTGACATGCGTACCAAAATAGCAGAATCTTATTAAGGCACAAACATATTTTGGTGAATAAAGTATGAAATGGAACAGCAGTGGTGGTTGCCTTTTCTTTGCCCCTTTGCCTTCCGGTGCACACTGCTACACATACAACACTTTATATTCAGACAACAGTTACTCACCAAAGTGAGTCTCTCTGCGTGTTTCTTACTCTGTCTTTCATATATTTGTTTGTTCCTGAATTTTTGTGATCCAGAGGCCAAGCTCGGGCGCTACTATGACGACTACTCTCCCCTGCGTCTGTCCATCCACTCGCTGTGTACCAGCCACCACCTGGACCTCTTCATCACTTTTATCATCTGCGTCAATGTCTTCACCATGAGCATAGAGCACTATAAACAACCAGTGGTAATGCGTGCCCTTACAAACTTGCTCAAATGGAAAATGTTGTGAAAGATGTCTCAAATTAATCTGTACGCTTCTCCTTACATTCAATCTGTGCACTCAGTATTTAGGAGAGGTTCTGAAGTACTGTAACTACGTGTTTACCTGCATCTTCGTCGTTGAGGCCCTCCTCAAACTTGTGGCATTTGGCATACACAGGTTCATCAGAGACAGGTAAAGCAATGAGAATCTCTATAGCATTGTTTCCCACTAAAGTCAATGTAACTATCTCGCATAAAATGGTTACAAAAATTATTCCCTACTTAATGTGTGAATTCCTGCCTTCCTTATTTTCCCACAATTGTATTGAGAGCACTGGGTGGTCAGGGTACTTATCTTTTTCAGAGTACCCAGGTGGAGCGCTATCATGGTTTGCCTCAGTGTTTTCCCTACAAAAGAGATTAGTGGGTGGGCTGCCCATTAATCTAAACAGCCTCCTCACTATTTAGCATCAGCAGCCAGGCAGCAGCAACATTTCATCTTCTGTTCCCATCTGTTCTCCTTTTCAGCTAACTCACAATAACCTTTAAAGACTAAGAAGGAATTTGTATTACTTTGTTGTTACAATCACCCGCTGGTACTAGTTGAATATGCTGCATGAGCGATGAAAGAGAAGCACTGTATCTTGTGTCTTATTTTTTATTGATTAATTTTTTTGCCCTTTTCTTTTCTACCCGACTAAAAAATATTCTCAGGTGGAATCAGCTGGATTTAGCTATAGTGGCATTGTCCATCATGGGCATCGTCCTGGAGGAGCTGAAAATGAAAGGCACATTACCAATAAATCCAACCATCATCAGGATCATGAGAGTGCTCAGGATAGCACGAGGTACACATACGCTTACCAATCTATCCTTGCTTATGTTGTACACACTTACATCATTTCACTCTGTTAAGTTATCCTAAATATTCTAATAGATCTGGCATCAAAAAGAGGATCTCAGATGTAGATAAAACAGTTTCCTACTAACCCTTTTTCACAATTATCACAGTAAAACGGCTGTTTCAATGTCTCTCTGCAGTGCTGAAGCTTCTAAAGATGGCCACAGGGATGAGAGCTCTGTTGGATACTGTCATGCAAGCACTGCCGCAGGTAAACATGGACTCTGTAATGTCTCAACCACAAAAGAGTGGTTTTGCTTTTTTTTTCTTATTTATGAAAACAGGGTCAGGATATGAATTTTGTTCAGAATAGACAGCCCTGAAAGATTTATGCTTTTTAATAAATATTTAATTCCAGGCGTATCCTTCCACATTACAAAATTCATATCCTAACCCTCAAGTGTGTTTGTTTCTTCAGATTTTCGCCGGCTTATTGCACATCACATTTGGTTTTCTTAGTAAATGTGCCTTATAATAAATGGCACGCACACTGCACACAAGAGGAATTTTATCACAGAGTCAGTGAGTTCATTAGTCAAATGGATACCCATGCACATTTTTGCCACCGATCTTGTGATTTCTTTTCTTTTTTTTTTTTTTTTGAGTCAGACTGTTCCTCCCTTGTGCTCCTTTTTGTGCTTTTGCTATTTTGTCAATGCACCCACCATTTTTTTTTAGGCGTGTCAGCAGATGTCGCGGATGTATCTCTCTGTTATTGCGTGGCTCAAATCTTAGAGGCAAAGAGCAGCTGCGCCAAAGATTATGATGTGTGTGCAGTGACAGACGTTGTTCTGCTATTTTCTAAATGTCAAGTATTCGGATATAACCATCCCAGGCACAGAGTGCACGAGGAAAGATTTTTAGAAAATGGAAAAGGAGATGAGACATGCTGGTAAATGATGGCACGATGCACATGTAGTCATAGGAGGTGCACACTGTCCAAGTTATTTTTGAATTTTTTGATTTTTAAGCGCGCAAAGGATTTCTCCATGCAATGGGTAGAAAAGGGAAAAAGAAGTATTTTATGCTAATGCATAAATAAGCATATGTGGTATCAAATATATGCAATAAGACAAGAGCACTCAGAGAACACATCTCCTCTCAAAAAGAAAGGGCTGTACTAAAACGGTGGATGTTTTATGAATTCTTTTTATTACAACATGCTGACATCAGGATGTTTTTATAACAATATGCTGATGTCTGACCTTTAACACATTTATAGTGTTTTTTATTGTCTTTACCAATATAACTGGGACAGAGCTGGCTGATTTGGCTTCTATAAGCTGAAAGAAGTTGTGACTTTAAGATATTTTCATGCACTGTGTAATTTTGGGAAACTTTCTGGTGTCATTGTGATGTCATGGGCATTGTGTTAATGTACAGCTCTCCCCATGCCCATTCACATGATATATTACTTGATATGGTTTCTTTAAATGTTTTTTCAAGGTCAACTTTTACCTTTGGCACAAACAATAAAGGTCAAGGTCAGATCCCTGGAAAACTGAGGTGCTCGTGCCAAGCAAGGCTTGTTTTTATTGTTTTACCCATTTGATGTGATCTTGATGTGATTTTCACCTAAATGAAACCAACTTGTACCATCACACAAAATATGAAAATGAGATCTTGGAAACTGTGGATGCTACACTGCTAACAAACAGACAGACAAACAAATGGAGTCAGTTATATACTCCCTCTCGATTATATACTCGATTATATACTCCGGAGACAGTGCCTTCTTGTTCCTGGATCTTTAATGTTTTAAATGGTACTGTTGTTTTTTTGCAGAAGATATCTAACATATTTTGGGGTTTGTTTTTTTCTTTTTCCTTCCAGGTGGGAAATCTTGGTCTTCTCTTCATGCTGCTCTTCTTCATCTATGCTGCTCTGGGAGTGGAGCTCTTTGGCAAACTGGGTCAGTCACCAGCAAGAAAAAAACAAAACAAAGACACACACACACACTGCTCCACACACTTTGCCAGAAAAGGTTTTTGAATCCAAGCATCACTATTACAGTCACGATTTGCGGCAAATTTCCCCCCCTTTTTTTGTATCCTCCCTTCCTGTTTTGACCAAGGAAAGATCACATTTGCATGATCCCATTTATTTACATTATTGCTTCTTCAATGGATTCACTCTGTCCAACTCATTTTGCCTGAGTTTGTGTGGGAAAAGTGTTAGAAAAAAGAAAAAAAGGACTTCTGGGAAGATGAAATGAAAAACAACTTTCTGATAAAGAGGTTGCTTTCGGTGAAATGTTATGATCCTCTGCTACACGCTGGGAATAGAAGATGATGTCTGTTTTGCCGATTTATGCAACATGACCCATCTTCAGCTTTTGCAGAGATTTTTATGAATGTTTGGAAGTGCCAAGCTAAATGCTGATCCATGCCTGTAAGGGTGAAATATGTTTTAACTTTGGAAGTTTTGAAGGAAACATCGTGGCACAGAGCGGTGGAGAACAGGAACGTTCCCTGCATTCACGCCAGTAAGAAAAAGCTAAACCTCATCTTCGAACTTACTTGCGTCTCACACAACCCTTGTTACATAGGCCGTCGACAAGTCTTTAGTTTTATTATAACATGGTGTTTTATACATTTTCACCATGGAAGAGGAATTTAAACTGACCAACAATTATACGACTAACTGACAGATCTTAGATAAGCGTACGTTGGCAGACTCTGTCCAAGGTATCTGCCCAAGGCTGTGTAGATAGGATGAGGGCACAGGGGGCTGAATGAGTGTTTAAATGTTAATACAGTTCTGGCTTCATGTCATTTCAGGGTCAGGTGTTTTCAGCATAGCTTGTAATTAACATATTCCAGTGTGGATCTGAATCTAGATTTAATAATTTATCTGGTAGTCTACACCCAGATGAATCCCGATTTCCAGTGGGCAGGAGTTAAAGGAAGATTACCTGAGAAAGGTAAAACAAAGGGGGTAGAACAGTAAATGGTCTATACAGGAGCGAGCTCCGACTGGGAGGAAAGAATATTTAGTAAGGTGTGAAAGCAAGGAGACATTGACTTGAGTGACTTAGTAGATCTCATTAGTTTTCCTCATTAGGTCTAATTAGGTCTAAGTCACCACTGTTAGATGAAACTCTCTCTCTACATATATATATATATCTTTTAAATGAGTTTTCTTACAATCTGATCTTGTGAAATAAGTTTTTTTACGTCTAAAAATATGTTTTTGCTAATGATGTAGACATATTAAAGGCGTACACGTGAAATACCTGCAGTCCAAAAAAATGAAAAAGTCAGATGTTTAACGTTTGACTGAATATATTTGAACTGAAGCTGCTTTTTCTGAATTCTCAGCAGCCTCTGACTCAGTCGTCTCCCATTTGTTAGAGCCACAGCGAGCGTTTCAGTCTTGCATCAGTATAGCTTGATTTCATTACAAGTTACGCAAACCTTCCCTATCCATTTCCTCTGTGCTACACTCTCACATTGTTTAATCCTCTTATTTGTCTCCTGGTGACTGATGCTTAGAATAATAAACATGGTACATAATACTCCAAGGGATGTGTTATTCTTCTCAAGCATGCTGTTAATGTGACCTCAGGTTTGAGGCAAGGGAGGATATCTTCTGGTGGCTATTCTCTTTCTGTAAACAGGGCCTCGAGAGCTTTCTATTAAATTGACCCAAAGACTGTCCCCTGGAAGACTTTTCTCATTCGCTGTCCTGTGCCACGTCCATAGGGAGACGCCACTTGGAACTAGTTTACTCTGCATTTATATGATTGAAGAAGTTGTATTTTGTATGGAAGTGCGGCACGTTGTATTTCTCGTCTTCTTTTCATCACCATGTTTATAGCGCAGCTTAATTAACGTCTTCTGTTTGCTTTGATTAGAGTGCAGCGTCGACAACCCATGTGAAGGTCTGGGTCGTCACGCAACCTTTAGAAATTTTGGGATGGCCTTCCTCACACTGTTTCGAGTGTCCACTGGAGACAACTGGAATGGGATTATGAAAGTATGAACAGACACACACACAAACGCACTTGTATGCACAACATGAGCTCTAATAAATGATGACTAGATTATCTCATAACCGCAGAGAGCGACGACCTCGAAAAGCAATTATGAAATGATAAAGTAGCTTAGAGGAGACCAATGTCAAAACTTTCACATTTTGAGTTTTACTTTATTAAAAAATGAAATTCTGAACGACACAAAAATGTGATCGTTTACAAATGATGTGACAATGTCATGTGTTTTTCTTTTTTTTAAATGAATTATAATTTTTAGGTATAGTGTAGAATCTCTTTAACAAGATCATGTTAGGGAAAAGGTGTCAAACACAAGGCCTGATGCTTAAAAAAATGACATGTTTGTTGAAGTCACACACCTTTTTTCTAATATTAAGATATTATGTGAAGGATTAAATGTGTAAGTAAACTTCTCCACTCAGGCTCGTAAGTGGCCCACAACATAAGCAATGCCTCTTGAATTCCAGCAGAGGGCGATGCCACACAGTTTCTCTTTTTAACCACTGCTTTAAAAAAGGCACTTTAAAGTAGATTTCTGTCTTTGTACAGACAGTCAGTTTTATGTTGTGTGTAAGAAATGTACGCGTCTGTCAGTTTGGCGATTTTTTTTGAGCTAATTCAATATAAAAACAGGACGTGATTTCATGCATATACCTTTTAGGAGTGATGGAGAGTGGGGGTTGTTTAACAATGTGCAATGTTTTTATTTCTTTTTTTACTGATTATGAACTACTTACATCATGTCTATGTGTGTGCTTAAATTTGTGTTTCTTTGTTTCCTGAAGTTACAAATGAGTAAATGTGTAAAACTGTGATGCTTACAAAAGTCTTTGCAGCTGTGGATGCCCAGCTTTTTCAAGTGGTGACTGTGATTCGGTGTCGAGGTAAAACTCTCTGCTTCTTCATTTTCTCTTCTTTTTCTTTTCAGGACACATTGAGAGAGTGTCGCCGGTCTGACGAACACTGTTTACCATATCTGCCCTGGGTTTCTCCAATTTACTTTGTCACCTTTGTGCTCATGGCCCAGTTTGTTCTGGTCAATGTGGTGGTGGCTGTTCTGATGAAACATCTAGAGGAAAGCAACAAGGTGCAGTAACTTGAGTACTATCTCTTTGGTTTTTGGCTTTTTAAATGCACAGATATTAAGTAGATATATATTTGCAGGATGCTAAAGAGGATGCGGAGATTGATGCAGAGATCGCCTTGGAAATGGATAGGGAGAGGGATCGCAGACTAAGCACAAATTCCAACAACAGCTCAGTCGGAGGGACCTATGTGGGGCCATGCTCAAATTCACCTGAAGAGGTAGGAAGACAAAACTGTGCTTATTAGCAATTGCAGCAGTGAATTTAAGAAAGCCCAAGCTATGATGTGTAGACAACTGGGTCTCCAAAGTTGCAGCTCTTGTGGGGTGTTCAAGTGGTCCAAGGAAGGAACAGTGAACAGATCACACGGGTAGGCCTTCACTCCCCACGTGCAATCTGATCCAACAGACGAGCTACTGTTGCATCAAATAAAACTACTGCTGACCTTTCTGCCGCCTCCCAAGGTGTGTCACTTACCTGGGGAACACCTGGCACCAGATGTACTATGGGAAGAAGGCAAACTAGCGGAGGCAGTGTGATGTTTTGGGAAACCTCAGGTCCTTCCATTCATGTGGGTGTTACTTTGATATGTACCTAAGCACTATTGCAGACCATGTACAGCGTTTCACAGAAACAGTACTTCCTGATGGCTGTGGCCTCTTTTGGCAGGATAATTGGGCCTGTCAAAAAGCAACAATGGTTCAGGAATGGTTTGAAGTGCACAAAAATAAGTTTGAGGTGTGGACTTGGCTTTCAAATTCCCCAGATCCCACTCCAATCAAGCATCTGTGGAATGCGATGGACAAACAAGTCTGATTGCTGGAGGCCCCACCTCACAACTTAGAGGACTTCAATGATCTGCTGCTAACATCTTGATTACAAACACCTCAGCACACTTTCAGGAGTCTAGTGGAGTCTATGCCTCGATGGGTCAGGGCTGTTTTGGCAGCAACAGGGGAAACTACACAATAATAGAGAGGTGGTACTAATGTTATGCCTGATCGGTGGAAATGCAATATTACGAATAAAACAAGGTATAAACATATACTTTGTTATTACATCTTACTGCTGGGTTACAGTCTTTTAACAAATACGGACACATTTAAATACATGTTTTGGGTTGTGCATAGAGCTGGCATGTAATTCAGCCCATGTTTCTCAGAGCCTGATGAAAAGATGACAAACGATGCTCTCCTTTAACCTTTACCTTTAAGATAACTTTAAGAGACAGTTCTTTGAATTTGTGCGTGTGTGTGTGTTATTTTCAGTGGTTGTCCGTACACTATCTTGCACCAGAAAGATGCCACAGACATGGCATTCATATTTTTACCTGTCTCAACCTGCAACACAGACGTCAGTCATCAGAATCACGCAGCGCTCTATTCTTTCTTTGTAAAAACTGCAGCTGTTGGTTTTAGCACTGAGTGGTCTCTGTCTCCCCCTGCAGGAGGAAGAGGTGCAGTACAACAACCAGAACCTGCTGTCATCCAAGATCTCTGTATCCAGGATGCATTCTCTGCCAAATGACAGTTATATGTTTAGACCGGTGCGACCCGCCAGCGCCCCCTACCCTTTAGAAGAGGTAGACCTGAGTCCCCAACACCAGCATTCAGGTAAACTAGATGTTAAATACTAAAATATTGATTGTGAGAGTAGCATCGCTTTATTATTGTGAAGTTTTGGCATTTTATTTAATCTGTGTGGTAAACAGACAGAGACACAGTTACTAAATTTGTTAACTAAACTTCACAAGGTCCAATTCAAACTAGTTAAAATAAAAGACTGAGTAATGTTTATCTCACATAGAGTCAACCTTATACCTATCCTACATAATGTTATCTTTTTTTCCTGTAGTTTCACCTTCTGTGTGTTTAAAAAAGAAGTCAGAACATAAAGAAACAATGCTCAGAACACATCTCTAAGCACTAACAAGAACTGTTTCATTTGCAGTCAGAATCTAATGGCATGTTGTGTCCAGGCTGTGGACAGGCCCAGCTCTGTCCTAAGGTACTTACTGTAGTGGATGAGTCGATACACGTGAATACCTGCAACTTTCACACAGGCTCATCTGCTCAGCTGTGAAATGGCCGAATACTAAACTATAGTGGTCGTTGTCTTCACAGTCAAGTTGCAAAGTCAGAAAAGTGCATATGTTTAAAAATGTGCAGTCATCACTTCTCTTTTGTCTTTTGGTTATTGTCTAGTTAAAAGCAAAAAAATGCTGGGATGCTGTGTCAGTGATTTGATTTGATTTTCATAAACCTCATATGCAATCAAAAGCACACAGATGATGAAAACAGAGACATTTAGTTGTCTTTTTGGGTTCTCTCTGTGTACTCCGGCTTCCTGATTTCGTCTTCTTCTGTTTTTTTGTTGTTGCATATTTTCACACTTAAATGTTTCAGACAGACAGAGATAGACAAAGATAACCTGAGGAAAACAAAATGCTGTTTTTAAATGAATATTTTGTGTATTAAATGAAAGAACTCTATCTAAACCTACCCGGCCCTGTGAGCCAAAGTAACTGCCCCTCTGTTAAATCATGAATTGACAGATTAACTGCATTTTTTTTTGGAAAGCTGGATTCAATTTTAGTAGCCACACTTAGGCCCGAATACTGTCAGACCTGCTGAATCAAAAAATCACTTGAATAGATCCTGTTGGACAAACTCAAGGAGGTGAAAATATCTCAAAAAGCAACACATCATTTCAAGATCTAAAGAACCAGCTGAGAAACAGTCATTGGCATCTGTCAGTCTGGAAAGAGCTACAAAGACATTTCTAAGGCTAGCTTAGATCCATAATCCACAAATGGTGGAAACTTGGAAGAACTGTCACTTCCAAGGGTGGCAAAACCAGTTATTAAGTTTCAGGTGTAATTACTTTTTCACACAGAGCCAAATCGATCCCTTAATAAATAAAAAATAAATCATTTAAAAACTGCCTTTTGTTATTACTCTAGTTATCTTTGTGTAATATGAAAATCTGTTTGATCTAATAAGTGTTACAAATATGCAAGAAGTCAAGAATGGAGTAAGTACTTATTCACCTTTTGCACAGCATCCCAGCTTTTGTCAAAGATGTGGTGTTTTAAGAATAATATTTTGTGACTTTACAGCTTGAACTGAAAATATCTACTTGAAATGAACTCGTTTACGCTCTGACTAACATTTTATTGTTTTATTTCTATTATATCTGCACACCCCGGTTCGGTGAGCCTTAATGCTCTCTGCTGCAGGTTCCAGAAATTCTCCTAGTTCACTGAACCTGTGTGTGCAGATCACCTGAGAGCCTGGCTACACAGTTTCACCACACAGATTGAACATCTGATGGATGTGCTCTCTTGTGCACTTGACACCTGACACATTAGAGCGCTATATTCTGCCAGGACCCTAATTTCCCTTGGCATGGCGCAGTAGAGACAAGTGAAACTGTTACTGTAACCAGGATCTAATGTGGAATTTTACATGCAGCAAGCTGGCCTTCTGCGACTGTTTCCCTGAAAAGTCAGCTCGGTGCTGCTGCTCAGCATACAGTGTAACAACCTACTGTATGCGCTAATGATTTTTTTCTTCATCCAGGAAACACTTTATTTTGATAGCACATTTTAAAAAGCAAATTTTCAGCCCAGAAAACTTCTCCAGGCTTCATATCTGAAGCTGTTATTTATGACCACATCTTCCACTTAAACTTTTATTTGAATGGCTGTTTGTAAGATCCAAATGTTCTATCATAATAAAGTGTTAGCGATGTCATACTTTGGCCATGACTCTTGAAATATAATGCTTTAAAAAGAACAGAAAATAACATGTGTTTCTTTATGCCCAGCTGTGCACGTGTTTTCTCCAGAAGTGCATGTGTTTCTGTCATTTTTGTGTGTGTGCCGTGTTCTATCACGTTTGACTTGATGACATATATGCTTTGCACATGTCTCCCTGCAGTCTCAGTGATGTCGGTCCACTCCCAGCCCTGTGAGAGCCACTCTCTGCTCCAGGTTCCGGACATTTCCCCCGTTCACCCTCGGTCACCTCCATCCCTGTCTCTTCCTCGCATCGCCCCGCCAACACCCAGCCCCTCACCACGGGCCCTGCATAGGCAGGTGAGAGACCCCGTTTCACGCTTATACACACACACACACATACACACATTTCAGCAGCTTCTTATACCCATGCGTTCTGCTTTTCTGTTGCAGGTGGCGGTTAAAGTTGATTCTGTGGAGTCTCAGGGTTTTGAGCAACAGGAGAGGACCAGCTCAGTCCATCTGCCCCCCCTGTCCCCTTCACAGCTACCTCCTCATCCATCCTCCTTGTCATCACCCCTGCCTGCTTCTCCCTCCTCCCCCTCCGCCTTCCCTCGCTATCGTCCTTCTCCTCTTCCTCCTCTGCTGTCTTCCCCTTCTTCTCTTCCTCCGCCACCGTCCTCCCCTTCGCTGCTTCTCCCTCCACCTCCCTCGCCCCGCGCCCCCTTGAGGCCTGCCAGCCTCCGGAGACCAAGGCCGCCCTCCGCCATCTCCCTCTGTGACCCGGCCGATGAGGAGGTGTATCACATCACCAGCTCTGCTGGCCACAGGTGGTGGGACGGGGAGGGAGGTGGGACGGAGAGCAGGGTTAAAGTGGGCCGCAGCCACTCCCTCTCCCCGTACACCTTGCCGTCTGCCCTCGACTCCTACTCCTCCACCTTTTCTCCTCCTCCTCCTCCGCTGCCACCATCCTCGTCGAGGAGCGCACTGAGCCTGCTTGGAGCCGGACTGAAGGACCGGGACTTCAGGAAAGGCTTCAGCATCGACAACCAGGGCTTCCTGGACAAGCCGCCATCACTGAATGCCGGATACGCCGACGACCAGCGGCGTCACTCCATCGAGGTTTGCCTCCCAAGGGCTGGAACAACCAGCTCTAACGAACACTTCACAGAGGAGGCCTACTGGCTGGAGAAAGGCGGTCCTGTGAGGGTGCAGTCTGTCAGGAGCAACCACAGAAAGAAGAAGATGAGTCCTCCATGTATATCCATTCACCCACCCTCAGAGAGGGAGCACGCTGAAACCGCCTCGCCCCCCAAATTATCTGATTGCAGCACGATGCTGAGACGCAGGACACCCTCCTACGACTTGACGCCACACATGCAGTCAAATACAAACGCCCAAGACGCGTCATCAGATGCAAACACGCAATCTCCAATGCACAGATCGCTAACGCCTGTCCATGTTCCTCTGCGAGCAAACTCGCCCACTTGGGCACTGGCTCACTCGCGACCGTCTACCCCAACACGCACTCAGACACACACCCCTCCCCACGCCTACACGCCTACACACCCACACATCCCCATCAGCCCGAACGTCTTTATCCAGCCTCACACCCCTCTTGTCCCAATGCCTTTCTCACAGACACGCCCTGTCTCCCCTGCTGCGGGGCACATCCCCCTCCCTCAGTTCACCTTCGACCAACCGCAGTCCAGATACATGAGCGGCCTATCAGCTGGCATATCAGACACCGACACGGCCACCTGCTCTTCCCCTTTCGACGGCAGACTGGGAAGCGGCGCAGGATTCAGTGCAAAGAATCGGAGGACCGCCCAATAAACACCAGTTGTTTGATTCTGGAGGTGAATCTGGTTTTAAATCTCTGAGGCTGGAGCAGCGGCGCCTCGGCTAACCTCAGCAGAGATGGGAATAAGAGGTGTTTCTTTTCAGTTGTTTTTTTGTTAAGATGAATAATGAACAGACATTGATTACTCTTTCCAGAGAGAAGCTGGTACAGACTTGAATAAGAGACAATGGATCCATTTGTTTTAAACCCAGCTGGAAGGACAGCAGATCCACAGCTGGAGGCTGTATCAGGCAAACAGTGCTCACTGTACGCGGTGTGTCGGGGACTAATGCAGATAACACACCAGGACTAAAGCCACCTAACTCCGTAGCCAAAGTTTTTTTTCACACACTGTCCTCACCTGCGCGAGCCAATCAGGAAGCAGCGTCTGGCTGACAACCTCTGACCTTTTAACGGGAAGAGGTTTGTGAAATGCGAGCGTAAGGGGGGGAATTGTGGGATATGCAACTTCAGGTTTTCTACAGAAGTTCTGCTTGCCCCTCCTCTGCTCCTCGGATCACATTGATCAGAGCAGAACTCTGTATGTGTGCGTGTGTGCGTGTGCGAGCGTCTGAGTTCTCTTACGTGCGATTACTGTCAAATCTGTTGTTGTGGAAGTCGGCCATGTAGTTCTTACGCCTGTAAACGACAGAGAGGAGGAGCAGGGCAGAGCTGTAGTGCGTGTGTTTCTCTGTGTATCTGTGCAGTGTAAATAAAGGAAAATACTGTATTTGGTGAGGTAAAAATAGCTCTATCCATATGCACATATTTTTATAGAGATCTAAAAATGTTTTTTGCACACAAAATTTGAATTTCAACTTTGCTCGTTTCGTTTGTTCTCCTCCGTTGTCCTCTTGTGAATGTATGTCTCTTTTCAAAGAGCGAGGGAAGCCGTGAAGGAGAGCGCCCCTCTCCTCTCAGCCTGCCAGCTGAGGTCCGAGGAGAGCGGGTTTTATTTTTCTATTTTGAAAAAGAGATCGAAGAGAACAAGGGGGGGGAGGGTGTGTGTTTGTGTGTGTGTGATGTGTTTCTGTAGTTTTGTCTCAGATTTCTATGTAACCGGTGTCTAAATAGGTATCAGTCTTAAGAGTATGGGCTCAGTGATGCGAAGCATTTATAGAAAGAGCAATGTGAGTATATATTTGACTAAGATGTGCTAATTAGTTCACGCGCCCTAGCTCCACATTCAAATTTGGCCGTTATTAAATGGGCCACATCCCTGCGGGGAGTTTAAAATCCAGAAATTTCAGGGCAGGGAAAAAAATAGATTTTTTATTTGCTTTGATTCATTGAAATGAAATGAATCATGGCTTCACTGAGCCTCTCCTCTAGTGCTGTTTTCAAGCTGGATCAGCTTCGACACCTGTGTTTCTGTACATCTAAAGACAACCAAACTAACTAACTTACTAAATATGTGTAGCCAGAGTGCAATAATAATATATACTTGTGGAAAATATAGTTATCATCCACATTACATAAAAACAGCCACACTCTTGTATTCATACTGTAGAACTGCTAATACATGCTATAAACCCATTTTTTTATATGACGATTGAGAATAGCTCTCTCACTCTGTCTGGTGTTCGTGCTTCTATAAGTACTCGTACCCTGAGTGTGGCTGTGCTGGTGTGGGTGTGGCTGGAAGCGACGTTAGGTACTGTAGATTTCTCCAAAAGCTCAGGCCCACCCACTGATGGGGTTACTGTAAACAGAAGAGGGATCCGCACCTCTGCCGAGGACTCGACAAGCCATTTATCATTCTGCTTTTTGTTTCTGTCCTCACTGACCGGCACCTCGCAACTTCAGACACATCGGTTTACTGACGCACCGGTTTGCCACATGTCACGTGGGCCATGCGTCCAGGAGCTTCATCGAGGAGCTGAACGTTTTCTTCCTTCTGTCCTGGCAGAGCACAATACGTAATTGATTCTGTTATGTGCACGGTGTGGTTTGGCACACATATACACACACTCACACTTGAAGCATCCCTGTAAGCTTCATTGGTACAGATACCCTTTTCCAAGGCAGCTGGCTTGGAGGGTGTCTTTATTTTATTTTTATTTCTTGAGGGGGGGAGGGTCAGCGCACAACATGCACAAATCCTCAGTAATCTGAGTGAAAACCAAAGTGCTCCCATATCGTATCTGTAAACACGTAAGGCTCCGTTCTTCGTGTTTGTGCAGATGAAAAGGAAAGAAAATCAACCAAACAAGTATTTATGATAGATTTGTGAAACAGCTGATCAGACAATTGCTGCAAATTTGCCCCCAGTCTGTCTCAAAGGGTACTAAATAATTAGAAAAGAGGTGATTTTTTTTTCTTTTTTACATTCATCAGATGCATAAATTACTTTGAAAGTCTGCAAAAACTTTTGTAAACACAGAGCCAGGAATGAAATCAATTAATAAATCTCCTTCTACATTCTCTTTGGCTTTCCCCTTTACCGAGCAGCACGTGTGTAGACAGACAGGTTTGGTGTTAAACACCTTTAGACACCGTTAAACACAGGGTCTCCTTAAAGCTACAGTTGGCAACTGTGTAATCAGGTGGAAGGGACACACACACACACACACACCAACAATCCCCGAGTAAATGTTCCCATCTTGCAAAGGCAGAATGTAAAGCTCCTATAGGTCTTTTGGTGCCAGTCCTCGTTGAGCTCTGACACACAGGAGCACAAAGCTCACTAAATGACGTCGCAGACGGCCACAGTTAGTTATTCACCTGCTTCAAATCCTTTTTAAAAAAAAAATCATTTTTGAGTGCTTGAACACGCTGCTTCGTCTCGTTTCCTGTCCTCTTCCTGCACAACACCGTCAGCAACGGGAGGTTTTAGGTTCTCCGTAGAAAACCCTCTTCTCTAAACGGTATCGCCGTATTAATCGACACGGTTCGGTAGAGTGACTGTATAATTGTTCTTACGATTTTGCAGATCTTTGGATCTGAGTATTTAAATCCTGTTTTTGAGGAAACAGTTTTGACTATTGCATGTTTTGGTTTAAAAAGAAGACGCAGAAGAAGAAGAAGAAAATAACTTTTGGGAAAGAATCATCTGGATGTTTTCGAGATTTTGATATTTGCATTTTCAGATGTTTCCATTTGTAGATCGACTACCTAATTGCACTGGGCTCTTAATAATTGGTATCTGATAAAATACTGATTAGACGACCCTATTCTTTATTGTCCAATGCAGTACTGGGTGGTTATTTACAGTGTGAGAACAGAGCTCCTCTTTATACAGTTTTATATAGAGAAATGGAAACCTGGTTGGTTCTGTTTTCTTAAGAACCAACATTATTTAATGTTGACATGAACTTTTTTTTTCCACTTCTCCTCCAGGTAATCTAAACATAGTAGAACACTGGTGATGGTGAAAATATTTATCTGATGTATATTTTATGTAGGAGTAGCCTCGGCCCTGATGCTCTGTAAAGGACTGATCAGCGTAGTGGTTCATTTTCTTGACTAATATCGAGCTGGTCCGGTGAAGGCGATCGCGCTCCTCACACGGCTGAACCTAGAGAGCAGCAGAAGGTTCAAACTGTGATAGAACTTGACTTTGATGAATCAGAAGCCTTGTTTTCTCTTTCCTTCCTTCCCTTACAACCCTTCACCGACTGACCCAAGCACCCCCACCCCAAACCCCCCCTCAAGCCTTACAAGAAGGGGAGGAGGTGCATGTGTACTGTCTGTCAGAGGAGAGTCAATGTGTCTGCAATAATAAGCCCCGCCCCCTTGCCATTACTCCTCAAACGGGGAAAACGGGAGGGGACGGGATGGTGTTTAAAGGCTCGACACGCAGTTGGACTCTGTTGTATCGTTGATAATTAATGTGCGATGACCAACCATTGTCCTGAAGGATGTTTTCCTGTCAATTAAAAAACTGCATTTTTAAAAAGTTCCTGACAGTTTTGTTTGTTTGGGTTTTTTTCTTCTGTTCATTGTGCTTATTTGCCCTTTAATAAATAATTCCTACTGTGTGTGGGCATGAGAGCCGGACCAATAAATAATCCAGACACAAGTTTTAGCTCATGTTACATTTATCAGTGTGTGTATGTGTGTGTGTGTGTGTGTGGTTAGAGTGGGGATTTGAAAAGATTAAAGCTTTAACCTAAAATAATGCAAATAAGAACATGCCAGCTACTTTTTTTAAGGTGGCATTTCTCTTAGGCTTCTTTCCCAATCACAGCTGGGATGCACTCTGAAGTTGATAAGGATTAAGAAGTCTTTCATAAAAGAGGCTATCAGCCTCTACAATACAATACATCTATTACGCTGAGAGGCATCTACCAGATATTATTATAATATGGGATAAAGAAAGTATTTCTCATCTAATCTCTGGATGGATGGACAATATACAGTATTGTGAAATCTTGAGCTTCCCCTCATATCAGAAGGAGCCAGACTTGCAAGGCAGACAGATATTTTATCTTTCTTTTTTTTATAAGTGGTCTTGACTACTATAATTCTCTGCCTTTCTGGAGATCTTGCAAAGTTTTTCTTTGGACATTGGCTGCTTTTCCACTCATTTTAAGTCCAGTCCTTGTACCTTAAAATGAGTGGAAAAGCAAAAAATTTTCTAGCAAAATATTTTAAAAAATATGGATGGCTCAAGACTTTTGCACACTACTGTAAAGGGTAACTGTTGTGTTAGATATAGAATGAAAGAATCTTGAAGGGAAATATTAAGTATTAAGGTCACATTTGTGAAGACTGTGACTTAGTGATGTTCAGCAAGACAAAATCCACCAGTGGCAAAACACAACACCTGTTGTTCCTTGGATCTGCTGAGCCACTCGCTCCACACAGCAAAACCTTCTTTTCTGTGATTTCTGACAACTTACATTCTTTTTTTGTGTAAGGAGCAGCTTCAGAACATAATTATAAAGGTGAAAAACCAAAGCGGTGCACTTATTTGGTCAAAAGGTTTAACCCAGTGACTACTGGTGTAAAAACAAGCTATTCCATCTTATTATTGCTTTAACAAATCCTATACAAATGTGCAAATTTACAAATTATGCTGCCAGGCTAACACCAATGAAACAGTGTTTCAAGACAATGCATGCTTTTTTCCTGTTGTTGCTCTTTTTAAGTTTCTTTTAATACTCAATAATTCTTTTATGGACACACTCCTTTACTCTATTATTTTTCCCTCTGCAGGAAGAAACTTGACCTCTACTTGAGCACTGGCAGCCAGCAGAGGCAAATCTTTTAATAAACACATATTGATCCTGTTGTTACACACCACAGTGTGGTTGCTGTGTAGAAAGTACAATCTATTACTGTTTCACAGACTGTGATTAAAACCTTACTTAACTTGAGTGACATATTCTAAGTTCTCCATGATGCTCTGTAACAAAGTATCACAACCACTAGATGGCACTGTTTGATTGTAAAATGAGGAATCGGAGGCTCTTCATACAAGGATGAACCAAAACATTACAGTTTTTTCTGAATGCTTAAACCCTAACTGTGATTCCTGTAGCACAATCTCTAAAACTATTCAGACTTATAGCAAAACCACTCACTGAGTTTGCAAAACTAAAAGCTCAAAAACTGCTTTGCACTCAGTTTGCAATTTTTTAACACACACTTTGCAAAACTGTAGGCACAATTCACTGCACAACACTCAATTACCAAATTTCCAACACACTCCTAGCAAAAGTATACACATGTATGGCTATCATTAACACTAATTTGCCAACTGTCTGGCACACTTTCACATGTGAAAACTTTTTTAGATAATTAGTTCACTTTGCAATCAGCCTAAGCACTATAATACAGGTAAGCTGTGTGTGCGGAGTACAATGGAGGGAGCAGAAAGAGTGAGAAGTAGAGGAGGCCGAAGAAGAGGACGTGGAGGTGAAGAAGTAGGACGAAGAGGACGACAAGGACAAGGAGGAGCAAGAGGAAGACGAGGAGGGGGAGAGGAAGATGAGGAGGGGGAGAGGAAGGGTAGGAAGAGTAAGAAATAGAATTGCTGATGACATCAGAGCTACAATAGTGGACCATGTAATCAACCGTGGAATGACCCTGAGGGTAGCTGGCCAACGGGTCCAGCCCAACTCGAGCCGCTACACTGTAGCAAGTACCATAAGGACATCTTGAAATGAGAATCGGTTAGTACAGTCACTTCGCACAAAGATTTGTAGCACTGCCATATGCCAATGAGAAACACACCAATACCATTGATGTAAAAATACTGAAATTGTTACTTTACAGAATTGCTAGATGACCAGATGCTGGGGGCAGAGGAAGCATGTTCACTGCAGACCAAGTAACCCATATAGTCATTATGGCGATTGCAAATAATCCTATACTTGGAAATAAACACTTGTGTTTGTTTTGATGTGTTTGAATAAACACCAGTACTTGAAGTTTGGATCCCTCTATGCTTATGGATCTATGACAGAAGTATGAGCTCAAACTGACATAGCCTACCTTGTGCACAGAGAAAGCAAAAGCCAGATGTGTTTTATATTCATACCATCAGTGTGCAGTTGGCGCATTGTGTGCTTAGTAGATGATGGCTTGTGTGTACTGTTTGATACGGAAACACCATTTTTACGAAGGTGTGAAGAGTTAATCTAGCTGTGTTTGCTTTTGCAAGAGAACTACAATGTTTTGATTATTGGGTGACAGGTTTTCTTATTTGTGTGAAGAGTTTTGCAAAATTAGCCAATAGTTACAAAAAATGTGCTTAAGCAATCAGAAAAAACTGTAAAACTGCCTCCCTAATAATTTGTTGGCAGTGCAGCTCTCACCCTTCGGAGCACGGCCACAAGACCTGTGGGGGTGTCTCGGGACCCTGGCATCGGATTATTTGAATCCTGTGAGTTACAAGATGGGGCCTTCAGGGATCGGTCTTCTTCTGACTTAACAAGTCCATAAGTACCAGTGAATCCTAGTTTATGATGCATGGCACTAGCAGAGGGTTTGCAGCTGTCCTTATTAGGCGACAAACAGAAGAACAAATGATAGTGTGCAGACAATCTATCAGGACTACAATGAGACATGGTCGGAATAGTAAAGTGTGCTTCTCCGTCTGTGGAGTTGGACATCTGCACCCGAAACACTGCAATCTGATCAAAAGGGAAACAGCAATCCATTCTTCCAAGACATGCTGATCTTTGTGCATAATGCTGCAGACTAATGAGCTCAATCTCACCTCCAAGCTTTGCAAGATCTCATTTAAATATGACCAAGGAGTGCTGACCTTAATGCACTTTCTCCCACATTCATCTGACATCAAGCTTTCTGGAAGTTTTTGCAAGCGCTTGAAGAGAGCCGACGGAAATGGCAAGGAGCCGATAAAATACTTGCAGATTAAATGTTCAACTTAAATTGTTGAACTGATGTTGATTATTTTGGACACTATTTGCCCCCCTTTGCTTTTGATAAAAATATTAAAGGAGTGTTTCTTGGCATTACCGAGACCAAAAACTGCAGGAAAATGTATCCAATCTGTCAACATTGTGATGTCTTTGAGTTCAAATGCTCTGATTCTGAAGAGATTTGGCAGCCTGATATAGTTAACCATTCCTCTCACATAGTTTTGCTGCAACATTTTCCCTTTGTAAACCTTCGAGACACCACTAGATGGTGCTGCTGAACATAAGCTGTCAGTGGGAAAATGTGAGGATAACCTCTAAAGCTGCAAGAGTGTGTGCACATATTACAGTGTGTGTATGTGTCTTTACGTGTGTGTTTGTGTGTAATGTGTTTTTGTAAGAAGTAAAGGTCAGGATGACAGATTCACAGAAAAAAAGAAAATCAAAAGCCTCCCGCCCCGCCTTCCAAGCCGCAAACAGCAGCGCCTGCTAACAGCTTGTCTTTTAGAGTGCCAGTTATATTTATTTTGATTATTTATGTAAACCTTTATGTAGCTCTGAAAGACTCAATTTTAATTTATTGCCTGTTTCTAATAAAATCAGCTCTGGGCTTTTTTTTTTGTTCGTTTCAGCCAGCTCTGCCTTTTGATGTGTTAACAGACAGATTCTGGGTTTGGATGCAGCTCTGCATCTCCACGATTGAAATTAGCCAGTTTAAGCTGCATTCAAAGACTCCCTTTGCCTGCGACCATTTAAAGACGCATCTCTCCTTCTGGCTTATGGTCTCTTTGAAGCATGTTTTAAAAGGCAGCCTTGCAGATACTGTAGCAGCCCTTGGCATCAAGAACGACAGAAGAGTCTCTAACGGGTGCAGCCATTTATTTCCTCACCACGGCTCATTCTCTGGACGTTGAGCACCGTGAAAACTATAAAATAAGAAAAAATTGATACCCGTACAGTACCCTTTGAACTATAACAATGAGCTTAAGTTAATTCAGGCAAGTTCAAACAAGTAATTCTGAGATATACAGTCACAGATTAAATAAAACAAAAGGGGTTACTTCAAACAGCATCAAGGGATTACACAGTTCAGTTAAATAAAATATAACAACAGATCATCTCTCATCACATACCTCAGTCCGCTTGCCAAGGGTGCAAAACTCCGGTAAACACTTAAACACTTCGGCCCGTTTCTCATGGGGTGCTGCTAGCTTGCATGACACACATGTCTAGCTAAAAAATAGCACATGGATGTAAGTAACGTAAATACAGAATAAAAAGGTTTTCAGATAGCTCACAATACAAACGCAGCAACATACCTTACATTAGAAACACACTTATCATACTTATCAAAGTATTATCGTAACTTACATGGACTTTGTACAACTTATTCCTGCCGCGACAGACTGCTCTATACGCGTTACGGGGCATGCCTCTGATCACATCTGTCCTTAGTGCGACTGCGCATACAGTTCCGACAACCCCTGCAAGGATGACTTTTGCTACAGATCAGCGGTTCATTACACTCCCACCAATCATGCTATGATTTACAAACTAGCTAATCATACATGATTT